TTAATGGTATTTAATGTAATTTACGTTTATTATGAACTCGTTGGAGTTAAATGAAATCTCCTTCCTTTCCCGAGCAAAATCACGGTCCATTGAGTCCTTTTGTGAAGTTCATTATAATTTCAGGGCATGTTTAATTTTATGAAATTCTGACAACACTAAACAGGTTGAAAACACATGACATAAATGGCAGATATTAATTTGTGGGGGGAAAAAAAGATTTGTAAACAAAATTTTCTAAAATAAACGGTGCTATGCAACATTACCCACCAAGCAACAAACAGAATCCTAAATCCTCTTTCAGAGTTTCTCGAGTTCGGCTTCAGCCTCCGCCAACTGTTCCTTTAACCGTAATAGACTTTGCTGTAGCTCTTCTACTGTGCCCTTGAGTGATGCTTCATATGGTGTAATAAAATGGCGAGAAAATTTCTTCGGAGCTTCAACCCCAGTAACCTGTCACAATCATGTACAAGGCTAGTTAAGAGCTATCCAAAAGACAATGCTCACCGATCGAGTATGCTCGAGCTCACCTCATTCGGCAGCAGTGGTAGTTTAGTGATGTGAAAGTCATCGTACAACATGGAAAACTGGTCGAGGTACTTCTGTTGCATCCGCATTCGGGCTTTTAATAGCTTTGACTAGACGTGTTGATATTCATTTTTGTTCGGGTCTATAAAAATATTTTATTATATATATATTTATTTTTTATTATTATTATTATTAATATTTTTTTAATTTTGCAGGCCCCACACTCAACAACTATAATTTAGTGAGATTCAGAAAATAAATCAACATATTTGAGTCCTATTAAAACACTAAAACCAACGTATTTGAATCCTGGCATTTGAGTCCAAGTAGGACTCTAAATCTGAGCTAAAAATAGGTTTCTTTACACTATAAGTAGATTCAAGCATCAAGAGGAAATGACACAGAGAAAAAACTAAAATCAGAGGAAGGGACAACGATTTGAAAAAATTGAGAGAAGAAAAAGACAAAATAAGCGTGGAATATACAAAGCCAGTATCTAAAAGCACAATGAGTGACAGAGCATTTTCATTGCAAATCCAATTTCTCAACACGCAAAACATAGGAGATGTAATAACTTTTGACTTATTCTTTTTATTTCATTTTTTATTTATTTACTTTATATATATTTTTCATTTTTTCCAAATTTTAATATTTTTTATTTCTTTTTACATTGTTTTATATATATATTTATTTTTTTTCATTTTTTATTAATATTATTATATTAATATTTTTTATTATTCTTTTCTCATATTTATTTTCATTTTTACAATCCAACACTTTTGACTTTTTAGGAATACTTTCAATCGATCAAATATAATTAATTCGAATTGAATTTTTAAATTTCAATTTAAATTTTGATTTTTGCGATTAAGACAACCGATGAATTAATTGGTACCGAAAAGGCGCTTCAAATGTGCTAATCCTTCATTGACTGTAATCGACTCCCAAACCCGACACGTTTATGGTACAACACAGATCAGGTAAGATGGTGTCCGACCTACCTAAATTCGTTTTAAATGGTCGGTGACGACTCCAATTCATTTAATCCAAGTCGAAGCCCAATCGGGGGCCAACCGAAAGGCGGTTCCGACATCTTGAATGTAAAAAATGGTAAGATTTTCGTTTAAGGGACGGAAAGAATAGTGAGGAAGTATAAGCATTACCTTCATCATCGAAAAGTACTTGGTTAATGATGATATTATGTGTAACTATCTCAAACTTGGTGAGTTCCTGCACCAATCGCTCTGTTTCGTACAGGAAGATGAACTCCGGGATGCAAACGCAGATGACGGTCGTCAAGTCCTGCCCCAAATGAAAGTGAATTATACAGAAAACATGAGCAGGACATTGCGATCGAGATCGAATCGATGGCTAAACTTACTATATTGTAAGGGAGAAGGACTAATAGAATGGTATGCCTTACAGGGTCTTTGAACTGCTTATTAACTTGTTCAATCACATTCTTCATGCCTTCAAGCCTCCCCACAATTGCATCCTCCCCAAATTCCTCTTCAACCCCCAAAATACGGGTCATCTGCGATGACGAGTTTTCGACTTCATGAGCAACTTAGGAGATAATAGCAATCGATAACACAATGAACCGACGCAGGAGCTACAAACGGGACCGGAGATAAACTTCAATACTTGAGTCTAAAGAAATTTTATCATGCATAGGCCCATGGTTGAAGACCAGATGAGAAATATCTGATGACTGGACATACTAAACTTAATAGTAATACCTGACTCAATAAACCACCGAATTTGTTTTTCAGCGCCATCATTTTTTCAAGTCCCTTCTCTAAGGTAGGCGGAAACTGTAAAAGCCGAAGTGTATGTCTGGTCGGGGCAGTGTCGAACACGATGCACGAATAATCCACTGTCTGCACCAATCTGCAGCAAGGGAAAACATTCAGGACAACAATTGATCAAAAGGGTGTCTGGAAAACATAAGTATAAGGTGACAGAGCAAGCAAGCATGAATACGAGCATGAATAGTTGAAACCGATCTCTTACTTGAGCATCTCCCCTAAGCTCATCGCCTCATCGATTCCTGGAATTGCATTAGCCAAGTCAGAAAACAAGCTATCCATTCCTTCTCCAAAATCATCATTTTCCACGGTAGGATCCACCTCCTATTGACAAATAAAAATCATATTGACATAACTTTTCTTCCAAGAAAGAAGACAGAAACGAAAAGAAAAGGATACCATGTCATATAAATTCTTGAAGCCATAGACCAAAGTGGGAATCTTTGTGAATCACTGTTGAAAAGCATCGCTGAGATTATGAGCAGGATCGGTGGATATAATCAAGACTGAGGGTCGGACCCGATCCATGAGCATGGAAATAATGGAGCTACAAGTGGTCTTACCCACACCTCCTTTGCCACCAACGAAAACCCACTTGAGCGAGTCTTGTTCCAATACGTTATGAACTGTTGACTCGGGTATATCTTCACTGTCTCCCATCTTTGTTTAATCAAGCCTTTCTTTCTTCTTCGTTTGTTTAATCAGAGGAGTTATTTGTTCGACAATTCATCACCAGTTCTTCCCAAGCGACGTATGAATGATTGAAGGACAAGCGTACACTTTGTTGTGCAATTTCCAATTACAAATAATACCACTTGTATTCGTTGTTTTGATTAAAAAAATTGCAAATGAACAATTAAAATCTTTATTTGCATTTATGTAACGAAATTCATTCATTTTATACTAGTGTATAAAAATATTATTCCTTTTTTTTTTGGTAGGGTGTCATTTTTTCAGCTATTAAACTTGGGGAATAATCACCACCTCGAATGGCAATTAACAAGGCACTTTGTTAAACAATTTTCTGCACCAGACGTTAAACTTCATTGAATGATTAGCGTCGTTAATGTCAATGCCAAGGTCTCGGTGCCGCTGAGATAAACTGCTGACAATCAATCTGTTCTGTGATAAGAATACTAAACGTTATTATCTTAAAAATGGACCAATCGATCAACTAGCCCGTCTAGCTCAGTCGGTAGAGCGCAAGGCTCTTAACCTTGTGGTCGTGGGTTCGAGCCCCACGGTGGGCGGTTTTCTTTTTCACTTCAGATAGTTACATCGATTGGGGTCCACCATTTGCCGCCTATGAAACTACCAAATGAAAGTTCTTCAATGCCTGATGAGAGCAATCCCGTCGCTTGTTATGTTGACAAAATTATAATTATAACAATAATTATAGATAGTCTTTTCATGGTATCTTAGATTATTATTTTGTTAGAAGATGTATCATCATATTTACTATTTTTGTAGTTCTATTAGTATATTGTGATATGTTAGTAAATTATTTCTTGTTTTAATATTCATTAATTTACTGAATGACTAAGGGTATTCGTATTATATTATTTTGTGTGATTAGATTTCTGATATTTGCTTAAAATGTAATAGTTATCTACTTAATAAAAAAAATATCTCTTGTTCTGTAACAAAGGTTAAAATATCCGATATAAATGAAGTTGCAGGTGGGCAACTACCAAAATGGATCGAGAGGCTGAATGCAATCCCTCCAAGAATCAGCCGCGGGAGTGTAACAGGAATCACAGAAAACGTGTTTGTAGAAAACACAGAGCTATGGAAGAAGAGAGCAGAACACTATAAGAAAATAGACCACCAGCTAGCCGAGACAGGGAGGTACGTACAGCAACTTGTTAGACATGAACGCATATTTAGGATGCTTTGCAGCAGCTCTCGTCGATGATCCGCTATTGGTCATGAGAACAGAGAACTGTCCCCGTCGAGGATGATCAGATCAACACCCTCGGAGTCATCTACGAACGTGGATTGATCGGAACATATCAAAATTGGTACTTTCTCGATTGCAATCAGTAACATTATCATTTTGGTGCGGGGATAATTTGATTAAAGACGAGTTTCTGTGTCTTACTAGGTGTGAGCCAATGTCTACTTATCCCAGGACTTGTGACTTTATCCATGTTGATTCCGTTTTCAGCCTATACAATGACAGGTAACAAACAACGTTAAACGAACATATTCATGTAATATAGTTATGTGGATTAATTGTTCGACAATGCAGATGCGAAACGGAGGATATCCATCTGGAAATGGATAGAATTTTACGACCAGAAGGTAGAGTAATCATTCGAGACGATGTTGATTTGCTGTTGAAAATAAAGAAAATTACAGATGCTAAGCAATGGGAGGGAAGAATTGTAGACCATGAAAAAGAACCCCATGAAAGAGAGAAGATTCTTTTTGCAGTTAAGCAATCTTGGACTGCACCACCACCATTGACACCTGAACAAGACCAATAAGGAATTAGAGCATCTTTCTACATCTTGTAAAAGAGAATTTTTTAAAGTTCCCTTCTTTCTTTCTTTTTTTCATTTTTCAGTTTACACCTTAATTTTCTTAGAAAATATGGGTCATTTTCTCAAGCAACATTGATCCACTCTGAAAACCGAATCGGCCTTTGGATATTGATATTTGGTCCAAACCTTAGTTTTCTTCTCTCCATTTCATTATTGCTGTGTATAATTTAGAATAATATCATTTTAGGTATGATTATCGGTTTTTTAAGGGAATTAAAATTTTTATTTTAGTTTTAATTTAACATGATATGATCCATTATTTATATATGTTTATTAATTTTTTTTTTAAATAATTTGAAGTATATAATTTATATATAAATTAATTGTTATAAGAATCAAGGAGGCAACTAAATGTATCATGTCTTACCTCACCCTTTAAAATGGAAGATGGACTATTAAAGAGGGATGTAGAGTGCATTTATCCCAATCTGAAAGTGAACAAAGATGCTTAGACTTGACGTTGTATGTCCTATCAAATATAATTTTTAGAGGAGAGTATCGACCTAAACAAATGATGTAAGAGTTATTCATTGACCCAGTATCACAGCAAACTTATCAACAGATGGAATATGCAAGTTAAACCAACTGTAAAATTCAAGTCCCAGAGATCAAATTATATTAAACTAAAGCAATATATTAAATCTTTCATTTTATGGACACACTCTATTGTTGATTTTTTGTTCTTTCTTTTTGGTCCAATGATTCGGCACAATTGATTATCTTTTTTTGGTTTAATCTGATTTATTTGTTGAGTATTTTGAATCAGATTTCGCATAGGTTTATTATGGATGCGACCTTCTCAATCTAATTTACTATATTCATAAACGTCAAGATTTGAACTCTTAATTTTTATAAAAGATATAGTGTCTCGTCCCACAAATACTTCAAGAAAAGCGAGAGGGTGGATCGATCCCCACGAAATGTGGGGAAGTAGGGATGAGTGACAAAAAAAGAAGGATGAAATCAAATGCGAAAGGGGCATCATCAGATCATTGCCTTCCCCTTGATTACAAAAGTAAAATAATATTTCCAGAATCAGACAGCAAATAACCAACTTGTTGGCAAGAACTAACTCGTGTGCCCCCCTCATTTGGCTCGTAAAACATTCCCATCAACTGCATGGGGGCAATGCTCGTGCTTGTTGCTTCCATAACCTCCCAAACGAAGAGAAAAAAGGGAGTAAATTTTCCAAGCTAAAATGGGGGGAGGAAGGATACTATGCATGTGAGTCAGGGTTCAAATCGCGGCATTACGGTCATAACGGGCGCTATTACGATCGTAACGGACGTTATTGGATGTTATTACAGGTGTAACGGGTATATCGAAAGGTAGCGCTATTATTATTTCACGTGCGCTATCGCGATCGTGGGCCGCTATTTGAAACCTTGCATGTGACGTGACAAAACCTCAATAATGATGAAAACCATGGGCATGAAACATGTGTTTGTGGAAATGCGTGAATGAAAGATCTTGTTGAGTAGTTTTATAAAAAAACGATATGATAAGGGTAGCAGTATTATTTTTGGAGAGGGAGGGTAAAAGACAATAATACCTTTTCAGGAAGCTTTTGAAAAAAAGGTTGAAAACGGAAGGGGTTTGTTCAACCTGATGGGGCCTTTTTTTGAGCTACGCGACTATAATTGGGATTTTGATGTTGGCTTGGGGTACTCAGAAAGATCAATGGAGCACTGGAAGCCGGAAGCTGACTGTATGGACAGTATTGGCATCATCAATGCAATGGTGAAATATTTTCTTAATGTTTAATTGAATAATTATTTTTATTTTTATAAAAATATTTTCTCTTCTAACATTTTTTTTAAAGGAAAACGTTTCTTAAGAAAATTGTTAGTTAATAATTAATCAATGTTTTAAAATAAGAGTCTTTTTGTTTTAAAATAAATCGTTGGATGTCAAAATACTCTAATGTAGAATATGAATAAAAATGATTATTTAATCAGATATTTATGAAATTTTTATCTTAAAATTAAATGTTAATAAATAAAATGCTTAAAAATAAAAATTAAATTAAATTAAATACTATAAATATTTTTTATATTGTACCTACTGTAAAAGGCAAAAGAAAAAGAAAAAGAACTAGGGTTTGGAGTGTTGGCCTTGGCCTAACTGTTAAATAGATGTATTCTATTTCAAACACAATTTTATACTCTGGCTTTTATACTTTGGGCTAAAAAATTGTTTTTTTAAGTATATTCTGAAAAGAAATTATTTATTTAATATTAATTTTAGTTTAAAAACATTTTTCTAAAAATAATGTTAAACAGGTCTCCCTGTGATACTTGCTTTTGGTCAACCCTTTTAAACTATCAGTTTAGTTTGCTTTTTATAGGTTTGGAATTTGCTTCCATAATTAAATTTTCTCTAAAAGCATAAAACATAAATTTGAGCTAGTAGTAGGAATGGGCATGATACCCTAACCTGACTTGTTTTTATTGAATAAAAATAATATATTTTTATTATTTCAAGTCGGATCTGGTCGGATTCGGATTTTATTTCAAAAAATCATGTCGTGTTCGGGTCGGTGGATGGTATATATTATGCAGGTCGGGTCGATTTTCAAGTGGATGAGTCATTGTTCTTGGGCCGATCGTGTAGACCAAAAATCCGACTCATGCCCATCCCTAACTAGTAGTGAAATTTGTAAGCTACCAAATAGGTTTCCGTATGAATTTTTAGGTTCAATCACTAAGCCAAACATTAGTTAAATGTGCCATAATTTAGGTTTGAAAACTGTGTGCCTGTCCTTTTGTTTCTTAACATATTGCGAGACTAAGATGGAAGAGAATCTTGGAGGCAGGGAATGAAGATGACGAAAATTTAAAAATTATTCGAATATTAAAATATTATATTACAACATTTGAAAACATCAAGAATATATCAATATTTTTTAAAAAATTATTAGAGAAATAATATTAAGATAATACTAACAGATACTGAATGTCAACGATAAGACGTGCTATACTTTCAAAGAAAAAAAATCAAATTTAAGCTTAAACAAAACAGGGTTAAAAATGAGAACTACAAACTTTAAATATAAACCATAAAATAAAATTGAATTTTAAAAATACATATATTGAGATGGCTTAGCTGTTTAGGTGTACTTAAGGTGAAGCCAGTGTCGGGTAAACATAGCATGTGGGCATGTAGGTACGACAATTAACCGACTGAAGCATTCAGCAGCTCAATGATGAGTAGTAATTTCCTTTCTCTTCATGTAAGGATTACATGGTTCAATTTTTTTAATATTATAATCGTTTCAGCTTTTGATTTTTAATTTAGTCATTTAAATTGGATGGTTTAATTATCTATAAAACTTAAATAATATAAATTAATAGAATTAAAAAATTAAAAAGATTATATACAAAAAAAATCAATAATACAAATTTATATAGTTGAAGTGTATGATCAACCAATTTTTTTATTCAATCCATTGAATTATTCATTCTAATTTTGTTGGAAAAATTGAATGTTGGAAAACGAACTGTTAGCACTAAATAAAATAATTAAATAAAACGGTAACCGAGTCATGGTAATTCACTGCCTTAGAAGCGAATTTATTGAGATGTGTGTAATCGCTGTAATAGACGAATGACCCTCCAAGGTTAACACGGCTCTTCAAATTCCGTACACCCGAAAGATGGAGGTGGACTTTGGTGGTACTAATCTTCTCTCAACTTAAAACAATACTCAATGAAAATTTCCAAAGAGTGTTCCAAAGCAAAAATAAATTGCTTAAGGATATATCTAAATGAACGAAATTCCCCACTATTTATGGGCTAAATAGTGAGGATAAAATCGACATTTCCAAAGCACCATTTAATTATATTAAACATATAATTGTAAGGCATTTAGAAATATGTTACAATTTGAGCATTATCAACATTCCCCACTGATACGAAAGAATTATTTCGTAAAAATGAGAGCAATAAAGTTAAAATATGAGAAGAGCAATAATGAGATTAGATGTTTAAGCAGTAGTGAACGTATCTGGAACTAGTACATAATGGTGATGAGTAATTATTCTCTTAGATAAGTGAACGAATCTCGAACTTTCAAAGATTAGGGTGAACTCATAACACACAACTAAGTCATTCATCTATCAAAGTCCTATGAACGTTCAAGCACCACATAAAAAGAGACAATAGTTGAAGCGATTAAAATGTTAAAAGATTTTCTGTTATCTCTTGATGTCACTAGTTCGAGCATCATATATGTAGGACTATGAACGTTTATTGCCGAATGGTTGAGAATCTTTGAACAAATAATATCTTATATTCACCACAGATTTATCAAAAAAAAAAAAGATTAGAGAAAATTGGAGAGATTAAATATAAAAAGGTTAAAAGATTTTTTGTTATCTATTGATGTCTCTAGTTCAAGCACCACATATGTAGGACTAGGAACGTTTATTATTGAATAGTTGAGAATCTTTGAACAAATAATATCTTATATTCACCACATATTTATCAAAAATAAAAGATTAGAGAAAATTGGAGAGACTAAATATAAAAATTAATAGATATGCAAATGGAGTTATGGGTCACTAGAATTAAAAGTTAAAATTATTAAAATATTACTATTAGGGATTTGAGAATTTTTAAGGAAACGTTCAATTTAGTTACGAATTTTAGAATTTTTAGAGATTTAAGTTTTTTTTTTTTTAAATTTAAGAGAAATTGATTTTTTAATATAATATTTTTAAGTTTTCTAAAATAAAAATTTGAAAATTATTTGAATGTGACACGCGCCATTTAACGATTTTTTTACGGTCATTATGACCGAGACATTAAAAATGATAACGATTGTAACATTAGACAATTAAATTAACAATATTTTAGGCATCACTTTAAGAAAATTAGTATAGTTTATGTATTGTTTTATATTAAGCCATTTTTTTTATTAATATAGGGTGATTAAAAGTGATTATTCTAAAGACTCTTAATCATTTGACAATAGACACTTAAATCTCACGAAATCATTGATGGTTAAACCTGAAAAATCTAAAAATAATACTTATTTATTTAATTATTAAGTTTTGTTTCATTCTTGAATACCAAATTTGTTAAAAGAGAAAGCACCAATTATCCCATAAAAGACGTCTTGAAAACTTTTTAAAATAAATCCAAAATCTCTCAACACAATTATGTGTATAATCAGCCATTTATTTTTAAAATCTGATAAAAACATATTAAATACAAAAATAATTAAATGATTTGTGATTTGTGATTTGTGATTGCTGCATGAAGATTGAGAGGTTGTTTGTTTATTATAGAATGATTAAGCGCGGAATGATTCAAATGTTGAATGATTCAGAAGCTCTGAATGAATTAACTCTGAATGTGACATGCTGTTTGATAATGACTCTAAATAATTCAGAATGTAATTTTGTGTTGAATCATTCAACAATGTTTTGCTGAATCAGTCATCACTGAATCAGTCAGAGGTGCGAAACAAACGCGCTGAATACTGAACGGTTTAACATTAAACGCTGAATAATTCAATTAAGAGACAAATAAACATCTCTTATTGGCGGAAGCTTTTTTTTGTTTTTTTTTAAATTATTTTGAAATATCTAGCAGTGGTCATAGCGAAGCATGCAACGAAGGATAACAGCAGTTACAGCACTCTCGGTCAAAACTAGGGTTCCCATTCATTCTATCGCCCATCCAACTGATTTAGGGCCTTCCCTTACTGTTTTTTCAGACCTAAAACGAAATACCAAAAACGGCCGGCCTTCTTCTTCCTTTTAAAGTGAAAGAAAAAGGAGTTTCACTTACCTTCTTTCTCTCTCCTTCTCTATTAAAAAATACGTCTTTCGTTTTTGTTGTCCTTATTCTAACATAAAGGTTAATTTGATAGATTATTTTAATGTATATTTTAGCCTTCAACACTGGGTTTTATTTCTTGGGAGTTTCTAATTTACTGTTTTCCTACTCAAAGCAACGAGTCAAAGATATGGAATAGTATCAGTCTCTAATGGGAGTGTAGTTAACAGTTAAAGGTTGTAATTTCAGAGATAAAAAGATTTGTTTTTTCTTTTGTTAAGAAAAAGGGTGTTTCTTTGATGAGTTTTGGAGAATTTCTCGATAACAGCTCCGGTGGACTCTTCGGGTTTGCAAGGATAGTCGCCGACATGTCTTTTAGCAGCAACATGCTCTCTCCTTCTCTTCCTAAGAACATATTCAACTCTCCAGGCCTCTCTCTTGCTCTTGTAATAACTACACTCCTAAAGAATAAGGTTGCTTTGTTCTTTAGTTGTTTTTTCTGATCTGTTTTTTTTTGCAGCAACCGAGTACAGATAATCGAGGAGATGGGATTCGAATGGGTGAGAATTTCGAAGCAAGTTTTGGGAGAAGAAGCAGAGAAGAACAACAAGAGAGCAGGCCTGGAAGTGATAACATCGACGGCGTTTCGGGTGACGATGAAGACGCCGCCGACAACCGTCCGAGGAAGAAGAGATACCACCGACACACTCCTCAGCAAATCCAAGAGCTTGAAGCGTATGGTTTCACTTTCATGTTTTCGAACCAAAAGTTCCTTTTTCAGCATGTTCAAAAGCTTACCCTTTTTTTTTCTTTTTCTTGGTTTATGGTTTAGTCTCTTTAAGGAGTGTCCTCATCCCGATGAGAAACAACGATTGGAGCTTAGCAAAAGGCTTTGCTTAGAAACCAGACAGGTCAAGTTTTGGTTCCAAAATCGCCGTACACAAATGAAGGTAATCTACAAGAATCAAACCATTGTTTCTTTTATTTTCTTCTTTGCTTTACTTGATCCTTTTTCTTTTAATCCAGACTCAATTGGAACGCCATGAGAACTCTTTGCTGAGGCAAGAGAACGACAAGCTTCGAGCTGAGAACATGTCTATTAGGGATGCTATGAGGAACCCGATTTGCACCAACTGCGGCGGTCCGGCAATTATCGGCGACATATCTCTCGAAGAGCAACATCTTAGAATCGAAAACGCTCGTTTGAAGGGCGAGTTAGATCGAGTCTGTGCACTCGCCGGCAAGTTTTTGGGGCGACCCATTTCATCACTAGCCACTTCAATTACACCTTTAATGCCAAACTCGAATCTGGAACTAGGAGTTGGTAGCGATGGCTTTGATGGTTTAAGCACCGTGGCTACAACATTGCCTTTGGGTCCTGATTTCAGCGGTGGGGTGACGAATTCATTGCCGGTGGTTTCACCGTCTACAACCGGACTCGACCGATCCGTCGAAAGATCCATGCTTTTGGAACTGGCATTGGCTGCAATGGATGAATTGGTTAAGATGGCTCAGACTGATGAACCTCTTTGGATTAAGAGGTTGGAAGGTGGAAGAGAAATACTGAACCATGATGAATACTCTAGAACATTTTCTCCTTGCATCGGCATTAAACCCATCGGCTACGTCTCCGAGGCATCCAGAGAGATGGGCATGGTGATTATCAACAGTTTGGCCCTTGTTGAAACCTTGATGGACTCGGTAATCTAAAATTGCTCGGGTTCTCTTGAATTTCTGGGCTTTTTTTATTCAATTCTGAAATTTTGCTTTTACATATATAGAATCGTTGGGCGGAGATGTTTCCTTGTATGATTGCTAGTTCATCTACTACTGATGTGATATCTAGTGGCATGGGAGGGACCAGAAATGGTGCAATTCAACTGGTAAGTGAGCTCAAAGTTTCAAGCTTTATATTTATTTATCTCATCACTATATTCGCTCAATTATTTGTTTCCTTCCAGATGCATGCTGAGCTGCAAGTACTTTCTCCATTGGTCCCAGTCCGTGAGGTCAATTTCCTAAGGTTTTGCAAGCAACATGCCGAAGGTGTTTGGGCGGTGGTCGACGTGTCTGTAGACACCATCCGGGATACTTCCGGTGCACCGACAACATTGGTAAACTGCCGGAGACTTCCTTCCGGTTGTGTTGTGCAAGATATGCCTAATGGATATTCCAAGGTATTTTTTTTAAACAAAAGAACATTATAAGCTTAGTTGTGAAACATTTAAGAATCCGAAGCTTCCTACAATTCAAGAGTGTCTTTCCTTCGTTCATCTGCCCAATGCTTCTTCTTACGGACAAAAATATTGTCGAAATTTCAAGTTTCAAAAACTGGGTTTTTGCTTAAACACTATTAAAATAACCCCCCATTTGAGCAAATCGAGATTACTCCGCTTACTGCCATTAATTTTATATCAATGGAAGCCTCTAATTACTCTTTTATTTTTGTGTCCTCTGTACACGTTAATTTCATATAGAATCCCATTGTAATCCCAAGTCTCTCTTGTGTGAATAAACTATTGTTTGATGTTTCTATTCCAATCCTTTTGCCTCGGTCCTCCCATTCTAACGAGGACCCTTTAGGTTTTCTAGTCAAGAGAACGAAACTCAAAGCATCGACCACCTCCCCTTGTTTGTATCTGAATCTTTGAGCCGACATCAGTACAACCATCTCGATGTCACAACAATAATATTATATTAGAGTTTTTGAATTCGAAAAATTACGTTAATATATATTATCAATAACTACTTTTTTTTAATGGATAGTATCTTGTATCAATAATTGTAGTGTAACATTGTCAAGATTCTGCATGGAATAAGCCTGTGACGATTGATACCGGAAAAATGCAGGTTACATGGGTTGAACATGCAGAATACGACGAGAGCCTAATTCACCAACTCTACCGGCCTTTACTAAGCTCCGGCATGGCCTTTGGTGCCCAACGTTGGGTCGCCACCCTTCAACGGCAATGCGAATGCCTTGCTATCCTCATGTCCTCCACTGTTCCCACAGGAGACCATACTGGTAACCCATAACCCTAAGAAGAATATATAAAATGTATTTCGTTGTGTTTACTTATTTATTATTTTGTAGCTATAACTGCAAGTGGGAGGCGAAGCATGTTAAAGCTAGCGCAGAGGATGACTGATAATTTCTGTGCCGGAGTGTGTGCATCGACGGTTCACATATGGAACAAGCTAAACGCCGGGAACGTTGACGAAGACGTTAGGGTCATGACGAGGAAGAGCGTCAACGACCCCGGTGAGCCGCCGGGGATCGTTCTGAGCGCTGCTACTTCGGTGTGGTTACCGGTGTCACCCCAGAGACTGTTCAATTTCCTGCGTGATGAAGGGCTTAGGAGCGAGTGGGACATTCTGTCCAACGGTGGTCCCATGCAAGAGATTGCCCACATCGCCAAAGGCCGTAATCAAGGCAACTGCGTCTCCCTCCTCCGATCCAGCGTAAGTATACTCACCATCATCATTATATTTTGGGTAAACAATGTATTTAGTCTCCCTACATATTTTTATAATTTTATTTTAGTCATTTAACTATTTTTTTATTTCAAGATTATACTAAATATAATATTTTTTATTTAGTTTTGATCTTCTAGTTATTTTTCTTTTAAAATCATATTCAATATTACGTTTTTATTTAATTTTGATCACCAATTAAATAAAATTATTGATATGATTTTTAATATATCTTTTTAACTATGATATGATATTATCTTGAATAATCAAATGTATCATTAAATATAATTTTTTTTTAAAAAGTAATTGAATGATTAAAATATAAATTTAAGAATAGATAAATGATTAAATATGTAGTTAAACCTTATATAATTAACATCTGAAAATGAAATAAAAAACAAAAAAAAGGGCATGGGACGATGGAAGGGGTGGGTCAGATTGGAGAAAAGTGTGAGTCGGAAAGGACGAGTATGGAATTTGGAAGTATCTATGAGGACAGTTTGATGGCAGTGATATGAAATAAGCTTTTTTAAAAAGTCAAAGATAGGACGCTTCTCACCTTTCTAGCTTTTTTATTTTTATTAGTGAATAAAGTTTTCGACTTTTCATTTTGACTCTTCTTTCTTTTTATCTGACACTTTGGGACCAAATTATTCAAAGGGTTGATTCTCGAGAAAATTATTTTTCATTTTTTTTCGCATTTGGTGGCAGGCAATGAATGCAAACCAGAGCAGCATGTTAATACTGCAGGAGACATGCATAGACGCGGCGGGTTCGCTTGTTGTGTACGCGCCCGTTGACATTCCGGCCATGCACCTCGTCATGAACGGCGGTGATTCCTCTTACGTGGCGTTACTCCCTTCCGGTTTTGCTGTCAGCCCGGATGGTCCAGGATGTCGTGGGCCCGTCTGTGATGGTCATATTAGCGGGAATGGCGGGGAGTCACAGAGGGTGGGTGGGTCCCTTCTCACGGTGGCTTTTCAGATTTTGGTCAACAGTTTACCGACGGCCCAGCTTACGTTGGAATCGGTGGAAACGGTTAATAATCTCATCTCGTGCACCGTACAAAAGATCAAAGCCGCCCTTCAGTGCGAAAGCTGATTTGCGGGTTTATTAATTTGACATGCGTCGTATTTAGTTGTGACTCGGTGAGTTGAGGGGTGTTGAGTCAAGAACGAACCTCTCGTGGAGACTCCTTGCATGGTTGGCTGAGTCGGTGCAGCATGTGGCAAGGATGGCGGTTCGGGTATTGACTCAGGTCGACCCTTTCGAGATGGGTGGAATGGAAAAAGGTCGAAAGCCATTTTGTATTGATTTGTCACAGTTAGGGTTTTTTTTTTGGGAAAACTTTGCTAAACTAATGAATGTATTCATTTCAAAGAGGGGGTGGCGAATGAGCGCGTAGGAATGACGCGCAGCCGATGAAAGTGAGAATGGTGACGTGCGTGGGCAATGAATATGGCGTTGCTTTCATCTAATGTAACGGGGAGGGAATTACGTGGAGAAGTGAATAAAGCAGAGACTGGGTGTTTGAGGGACAAGGGTTGCTTTGGATTATAATGCCAAGGGATCTGTATGGTTGATTGCTTTGACGATGAATCTGTTCATCAGGGGTTGCTTTTCAAACCTAAATTCATACCCCATTCCCCTTTCACACTGTTTATTATTGGACGGAGATTGTGGTATACCTAAACCAACATATTTTCAAGCCATTAAATTAGGATTTCAATATTCTATAAGCTGTCATTTTGGTGTATTAAAATGTCAAAAGTATCATTTACGGAAAATCAGTGTTAGTTTACGAGAATAATACTTGGACAATCATCTCCACACGAACTGGTTTGAAGCTAAGTTATTTGGAAAGGGGAGCATTTTTTACTGAAAATTTATTGTCCCTTAAAATTTTATAAATTCATTTCTCCTAAAATCTTAAAACTTCGTATCTTACCATAAAATTTTGTATCAATCTTTGGCCTTTGATAAGACTTATGATAAGATTTTTTATGAACTTAAGAGATTTATTATGATCAAATTTATTAACCGTGTCTGTATATATACATTTTATTGACTTGTACATAGTAACCGTTGCTAAGACTTGATGCAAGCATGTAGAGGAAGTCTGTATATAAATTCCAATAACATACACAAAAGATTGCTTCTTCTCCGACTAGTTCTTCAATTTTCTAGTTTTAAGTACACTCACGGTGACTTTTCTTCATACCTACATTATGATCATCTATTAAATCATCATCGGCTACGAATTTTACATAAATGAGAAGGAATTAACTGTCGATAGTTGATTTAATTCATTTATTCTTATTTAACTATGTAATAAAGATAGCGTAATTCATACATTCACTGTGGGAGGAACATCTTGCTGTGATTAAAAGAATATTGAGATATTTAAATATGACATTGAATCATGGTATTGTTTACACCGCCGGAAAGAAAGATAAGCTAACGGCTTTTGCAAATGCGAAGGAGGGGAACAATATTAATGAGGATTGAGTAAAGTGAGGATGACAATAAAAAAAAACATTATATGCCACCGTCAATAATTTTAAATATTAATTCGATACACGTGAATATGACAATAAAAGTGAAGAGGAGGAGTAGCAGTTGGAGATATTGAAAAAACAGCCTTTTTGGACTGCTCAATCACTCAATCTCCCCTTTCACCTATCACTCACTGATTAGCCCTCCAATTATCCAATCCTCACACCCTTTGCCGTGACTGTACCCTCCCAAAGGACCCCATCCCCACTCCCTCACATGCTTGTGGGGTACTAATATCAATTTCCATATATTATTTCTTTAGTATGCTTTTATTATTAGAGGAAGTAAATTTTTATAGATAACATTATAAAATTTTAAGAGATTTTTTTAAGTGGTGGCTGCAATTTTTTCTTTTTAATATTGATTAATGTGTATATATGCAATTTTATATTAAATCTATTCATAAATTGATTTAATATGTATAAATTATTATATTTCTTTAAATCTGATTTGATTTGAAATATATATAAAGTTTATCCTAAATTATAAAGAAAAAAGAAATAAACTAAACTGACTTAATTATAAGAGATTCTTTTTGAATGGTCTAAGATGATTATAAATTAATATATGTTTAAAAAAAATTAATCATCAATAACGTACATATATACTGTAAATATATCTATTTAAATTTTAAATTTCTAAAAAAAATAATATTTTCTATAACCACTAAGACTATTTTATAAGTTAACTTATGAGAGATATTTTTTTTAATTTAGACAAACACTTTAAATATATTAAAATGATATTATTAGATAAAAATAGATAAAATAATAAAATTAATTGGAATTGACGTTTGATAATAATATAATAAAAATATCCGACATGATGTGGTGGGGGCTTTTCTTGTTTTCGACATAAGAAACCTTTCCTAATTAATAATAAACTTTCTTCAGCATTCAATTATTGATAAAGTTGGAAATACATTTAATTCCAATCCCAAAATGATTAGTATTCCATCGGTTAAGGTCTTAAAACATGCTCTTTTCTTTAGCAGAGACTTCAACATCCTATGGATGGAGACTTCTTCATCAATTATAGTATATTGTGTATAGACAAAATTTTGAACAGGTTGATCTAACTTATTTGAATATAATCCAATATTTGATAATTAAAATTATGTAGTATTTATTTGAAATTAGTCATAATAATCACTCTTCAATTATAATCATTAAAAGGGATTGGAATCATTCACATTTCAAAACGATCTTCATTTTTTTTTCTTACAATTAATTCTCTCACATAGAAACATTGATCAACGGTCATTTTTTTATTGTCTATAATTTTTCACTTGAATAAAAAATGATAAACCACCGACTATCGGCAAAATAAATGTATTTGCATTGATAATGAAATGATGTTGTAAGAACTAAGGATGTATTTAACCCCTAAGGTGTCAAATGCATACCCATTATTTTAAATAATTGATTAAATATAGTTCAATATATTAAGGTAATAAAAAACTAAAAGAAAATGTATATCCATTTTATTAAAAAAAATAAGTATTATAAATTTTTTAAACCTCATTTTTAAATTTATAAATTCGTCCAAAAATCACGACATGAGTTTCCTTTGTCTGATGATCTAAGCAAGCTCAGCCCCAACATTCTTCCAACTTCACAACTGTAATTTACTTTTTTTTTGCTCATGTCTTTTAGCCACGGTTAAAACGACGTTGGGATGTTTTTTGGTTCAGCTCAAGAAGTAAAGCTTTGTCTACGGTAAGAAAAAGTTCAGATTATAAGCTTCAAGCTTCATTGATTTGTAAAGTACCAGTGCTATTCTGGAACCCTTTTTGTTTTTCCTTGAGATTCGACAGAGATTTGAAGTGGAGAATCCATTGTGAAATTGTAATATTTTTCTTTGTTGTTTGAAAAATTAACTAAATGGAACAGGAAAATGAGATTTAGAGTCGATAGTTTAAGGACCAAATCATGCATTAATCTTAAAAGATATTATAAAATAAAATTAGGTTTTTTAATGATTGGAAATTTTGTAAATTTATTAAAAACATTTTCAAAATTAAAAATTTGAAAAATATAAATAAGTGTTGTGACATCTCGCTCTTCTACATCTTTATACTAATATTAAGATTTTTTTTTATTAAGTTTGGTGATATAAGTTATTTAAATATTAAATCAATATAAAAGTATTGGAGTATAAAAATTAAAATCACACTTTTAATGATGAAACTCATGTTTAATAACAATTATAAATTTTCCTACTAAACTAAGTACTATTATTATTGATAAAACTTTCTAATATATATATATATATATATATCGCAAGTGTGATAATATTTTTTAGTCAAATAAACATTTTGTGTCTTTGAAAATTAAAATCCCATATGCTACCCAAATATGACCATACATGCATACTTAATATCGTTCCACGGGAGAAATTCGTATGTGATAATATTAAACATACAATTTATAAAATGAAGAAAAAGCACAGGGATTTCTGAAGTAATTTATTCCATATTGATCAGCCATGAAGCACGTCTTTCAGTCCACACACAAAAGGGTAAAACAAAGTACGCGAAACACTTGGTTTTGTTTTGCCTCATTTATTCATTATACTAAACAAACACACAACACGAACTTGCCGATCAAACCTTCACCTGCACCATCTTCAAGTTGCTTACTTCTTCTGTTTCTTGGCCTTTCCCATGCTACCGCTGCAATCCTCGTTCGGAGCTGCCTTCCTCTCCAGCTTCATTTTGATGGAGGCAGATTGCTTCTCGGACTCAGCTGGACTCATCTCATCCAGAAGGTCGAGTGGAGCAATATCAGGCAATTCGAATGTTGAGTCATCCGAATCCGAGCTTTTCTCACCTGCATATGTCAAAGAGAACATAAGAAAAAGAATAGCGACATTAGATTAGTAAGAAGAACAAAGAAGAATCAAGTTTTGAACTTACTTGGTTCTGGCCAGCTAGCTCTTTTCTTCGACCTGCGGGAAGGTTTCCCAGGACAGAAATCCTGCAACGGAGGATCAATGCATAAGAAAACAAATCCAAACAAAAATAAAATTCAATTACTGTTTGCATGAAAGGAACAAATTTGATTATTTACACGAATTGGCAGGCATATAGAAATATTAACATAGGAACCAAGAGCCATTAATGGATACTCGGATACAGCAGCAGAAGAAGGAAATTACGAAAACATTCAGCAAGGGATACATACTATGGAGGTTTGAGGCAAAAAATCTTAAATCAAATATAAAGTGAGAACATGACAATAACGGAAAATCTTCAAACGATACAGAAGCAAATTCATAGATCAAGGCCAGAATAATCTTTTAAACACCAAGGATTATTGTCTCATAATATATTGCATCCACTTTGGTCAGGGGTCTAAAATTCATATTCAACCCACAGTAATCATCTATGTTGCTTCAACTCACATTATCAGATGCAAATTTGGATGTGGTAGGCGATACGATTCTTGAAATACCCTCCAAATATTTAGAAACACTTCAAAATTTTAAGTATTTAACATGACTATGCAAGGCACATACCTATATAGGACTCATTAATGAATAGAAGTATTAATAACACCATAGGGAAAAATTAAGTTGAAACTCACAGCAGCGTAGATGGAAAGCTTAGCAGTTTGTGCATAGTTCACATATCGCATGAGATCTTCATAGGAGTAAAACTTTTGCCCACTCTCTGGACATATGTAGTACTGCAATACCCAACCATTTAAAATATCACAAACAATGTTACTACTAAAGCTTTTCTTCGAATCATGTGCCTTCAAATAGTGAAAGAACAAGACAGTTTATTACAAGCAAGTTCAATAATCTTAATGAGCAAATAGTTATATCTACTTACGGGGGTTCAAGGAGATATAGATATGATGGTGAAACATGCAATAGTAAATGGAAGAAGCTAAAGAAAAACGAAAAGAGAAAGACTTAAGTGAGGATGCACGAGGGTGCGTGCAATAGTATTCTGCAGAAATCTCTTAAGATATATCACAGAGCTCTAGTGATGGCTGCAAAAGGGGCATTTATAGTCGCCATTAGTATAGGTACACTCTTGGAAGATCAGATCGGTCAGTTAGATGGATAACCAATCTTGTCAGATGATAGCACCTAGCAAACATCATAGACTTTCTTCACACAGCCACAAGGATTTACTTTCAAGGTTCAGAAATTTAGTTCAGATCCCAAACTAAATACAAAGATCTTTTACCTAGAGATGATAGATAGCCAATTTCAAAAGAATATTTCACACCAGACAGTTAGTTAAGATCGGTTTCTAGCATCTGATTTACATTTGGGACTTTGATTTTAAAATTTCATCAGGTGCATGCACTTACAAGGGAATCAAAACTTTTTAAACCACCATATCACGGTTCTGTCACTTTCTCGAAACAAAACTAAGGTTCATATATAGTAAATGCATGGGAAAATTGCAGTCTCCATATTTCATATGAAGATGTGACATGCATGCCCCACATAAAAGCGCACGAGTTAACAAATTAGGAAATAAAATCAAGAAAGGAAAAATCACATAGACTGAATCAATCATCACTAAAAACTGAAATATTATTAAGCATTCAACAAATTAATGCAGGTAAAACACTTGATTAATGGGGCTGATTTGTATCAGACCTCTCTTGCACCTAAATCTCATAGATTTTAAAGAGGTAAACCAAGAACAATTAAATGCTCAATTACCGAAAGACTAGATCCATCCTTCTGCTTTTTGACAACCAACATCCAGCGATCAGGAATTGGCCCTGAGTAATCCTTGTCTGCCATAGGGAAAATGATGATCTCTCAAGAGTGCTTAAAAGAATTCCCCCTTGTTTCTGTCACCAGAGAAACAATTCAGACCCAGATTTTTTATAAGAAAGAGACTCTTAAAAGGCGATTCTCTGGAAGAATCAAAATACTTTTAAAGCCACCTGTTCCCATTCTCTCCACGTGTTCTATGAATCGAAATCTGAAACGCACCTGAAAAAATGAACAAGAACACTGTATTTGAATTTTTGTATATGGAACACAGGTAAGAAAATACAGCTTACTTACCGTGTTTGCTAAGATGAAAGAGAAGTTCAACGGGATACTGACATATGGCGAAAACAAATGGACCACTGAAATAACTGCCATCTTTAAATTTCAAAAGGCAAATTGAGTATCCCGTCTACAAGCGTGGAAAAAACAGATGACTCCATTTACAGCCATTACAAAATAGACAACAGATTATCCAGCCAGATAAGAAATATTATCAACCTAAGAGCAATTCAACAATAGAACAAGAGAATTCATAACACACAAGGACAACCTGATCACAGCAGGACACTTGTGAACAAGTCACATAAGGGATTATCAAGATTTAAAAGAGAAAACAAAGGCCTTGAACAGTTGGTTGACACCAGGGGCTCTTCCTAAGATAGATCAGTTAGTCCTCTATTTGAGTCCTCCTTAAAGCCTTTGGACTCTTCTTTCCAATAACTCTTTGCTTTTGGCATAAGCAGAATAATACAACCACTGATAGAAAAAAATGGAATTACCTATTAAGAAATGAATTGTTAAGTTTCAAACACTCAGTAATTGATACGATTTTGATCTACTAGACTTAAATTGATAAAAGCAGACCAACTAAATCAAAGACACATTGATGAGAATATACAAGCTAGTGATCAAAAGAAAAAAAAATACCAGCACAAAAATTTCTCATCCAGACCGAGAAACTAGTTCTATTATCACCATCAGAAACGTAATTCAAGAGAACAGAAAGGATACAAGCGTTTACTTCAACTATTACACATGTCAGAAAACACGTAATGCAAAGTGAACTGCTCAAAGTAACAACAGATTACATCATTGTACCAATGATAGCTCATAAGAAATATGGCTGTAAATAGATTTATTTATTTTTCCTTTTTAAGTATACATTGTTACTACTGCAGCTAGACAAGGAAGCAAAGATTACAGGATCCCAACAAATCCTTAACATCATCATTATCAACAAGAACAACAACAATAAAACTAATCTCAAATAAAACTAGTAACAACATAAAAAACTGCAATAAGAAGCTAATAATTAATTGAAGAGCCAAGTTAGAGATATATGAATGTGTGGCTCTGAGCATTAATAATAGTAATAATAACAAACATATTTCCTTAGGACAATTCTTTCTAGGAAATAGATAGAAATGAAAAGTGATAGAATACAATAAGCAAAAGAGAGACAAAAAAACCTGTATTTTCCTTTCCATTTCGTTTCCACTGTTTCCATACGCAACTGGGCAGAAGTTAGTGAGAAAAAGAATGAAAGGAACTTTTAAGGAAGCCAAAAGCACCTCATCACATCATTCTTGTTCCTCGACAGACAGAATATCATGTTGCCTTATGTTATTCATTGATGAATGACATGGCATCGTAATGAAAACTGTTAATAGTATTTTGGAATTGAACTTAAACTTCAACCCACATTTAAACATGGCTAGTGCTAGCCTAGAGCTAATAAGATGCTTGAAAGGGCTTATTGCAATACAAAACTTTGTGAAATATCTCCCAGAAAGTCCCATGACATTGGAGATAATTGTCACATTCCATGCTTCACTAGCAGGAATGATGTCTCTCAAGAGTTTATTTTGATTAATAAAATTTTCTGCTTGTTTGGCAAACAATGCTAGAAAAAGCCAAGGCATCATCTATTTCGATCACAGAAGTAGCTATCGCAAGTCTTAAAAGTTTAAAAGAAAAACACCAAAAGGCCTAAGAAAGAAAGTTGTTAGTTAGTTTGGTATGTCAGAAAACACAAACAACCTATTTAATAGAAAACAGGTCCATTACGAGTGCAGCAGCAGCTGTTGCCACGTCAACCATAGCAACTGCATCGGTATTTTCCTTTCACGTGTCCATACAACACTCACCTAAATCTGAACTTGATAATCAGAAATACAAAGCTTCAGCCAAATAGAAGCAGAAAATAATCAAATGAAGAAGAGATTGAAAGAAACTATAGAGTATGAAGCTAGCCATCTAGTAAAGGATTGAATAAGGACAATGTCGTACATAACCACAAATATTATTGCTTTGAACATGCAATTGATAACATAAGATATTCTGCTGAGAAGATCTGCAAGTCACGCCCTACCAACTGTTTTACAGGTTAGAAGCAAAACGAACATGCATTCAAATTATCTAATTTAAAACATATCTTAACATGGGAACTGGGAAGAACAACTTCAAATAGGTTTCAAAGAAGTATATAATCTGGTTAGCAACAGCAGTGTGCAATAATGAACTTCTTATGCTCTAATACATTAAACCATAAAATCCAAATAAACCCTCGTGAATATTGATAAGGGGCTACACCAGAACCTTTCACAGTTAGTACAATTGCTTTCATAGCCTTGAAGCCCATTTATCATGAATTGAAAACATTCACATGTTTAATGCTATAACAATTCAACCAACGAAAACAATAACATAAATGTACTGAACCAATTAAGAAAAATAATCATACCCATTTCAGATAATCAACTAATGTAGGATTTTGTACCTGAATTTAAGTCATCGGAATATCAAGAACACTGCTTTCCTGCAATGACTATTGGAGCTACAAAGCATCATCAGTCATGTTCAAAAAAGGTAAGTTACCTATAGGAATCAACGTCTCCAGTGCAAAACTGGAAAGGGAAAGGAGGGATTAATATGGAAGGGTTCGATGAAGAAAAAATGCCCGATAGAAGGCCTGCTGGCATTGTTGGAAGAGAGGCAGAAAGCGTTTGGTTCTTGAATTTTCAAATGATATAATCACACCGAGGAGGAGGGAGCAAAAGCCGATGGATTGTACTTGGAATGAGAGTGAAGGTGGCACTTGCAAGCCCAGAAAAAGAACAAGGATCAAGCCATTGCCCCAATCAATTTTTCCTTCTCAAGGTACGGTGTCGGTCATCGGTGCAGATGGGAAGTGGGAACCATATCTTTTTGTATCGGTAGTATAAACATAAAGTGTTGTATACCGCTACCTATCTTGAAGGAAGAAAAAACAAATATTAAAATATGATATAAGACCCTGTCATTATTATATAATTTGACATTTAGTCCTATTTTTTTTAGAATTTTTATCTTTCACTTTTAATCTTTATTTATTTTTAATAATTCAACTTGTACTTTTTAATAAATGATAAAAACAAATAAATTCTAAATATTTAATATTTCAAAGTTTAAGGATTATTTTTATTTCTGTAGTAGCCTAATTTATCGTTTTAATCCTCATGATATTTTCATATCAGTTTAACTCTCGAAATTACTTAATTGTATTAACGTTTAGAATATTTACTATTATTTAAGATTTTAAGTTAGGTTTTAGGATTTAATGGTTAGGATTTAAGATTTTAAGTTAAGTTTTAGAGTTTATAAAAATGTAATGAAACAACCTCGAGGTTAAATTGATGTAAAAATATCATCATAAATGTAAAAACAATAAATATATACTATAAGGGCAAAATAATTCTTAATCAATATTTAAATAATTAAATTTTGAGATTTATTTAAAAGTATATAATTATAATAACATTTATTATTATATTTTGAAAATAAAATTATCAAAAATTTTCATTGATCTTATCATTTATAAACGGTTAGCGTTGAATAAAATTTTTAATATTAATAGAAATTATTCATTATAAAATATATATTTATTGATACGTAAATAATTAAGTTTGTGTTAGACGAGGAAACATTAGTTTGATATTAAATTGAAGTTTAAAATTTTTGTAATTTTGATATATTTAGAGATTTCGAGTTCGGGTAAAATATTCATAAATATATTTGAACGTGTATTGTCAAATGAGTGAATTTTTCAAATATTTACTGTTTTGTAATTCTTTTAAACTAATTAAAAAATTAAAAGTTCACATTTTATATAATAATATTAATATATTTTTATAATTAAATTTAAACAATATATATTTAATTTCTTTATTCAACTCAGATAAAAATAAATTATTTAAATTCAAACTGGAGTCCAAATAGATTGAATGGACTTGAGGTGAAGAGGATTTCATGGGCTCATTTGTGGATAACTTACGAAAAAGTACCAAAAGCCCATTTTACAATACGACAGTCTCAATCTGCGAACATCAGGGAAGCGTTAGCTGATCCGCGATCGTGAACTTCAATCTCTCTCAGGTACTCCAAAATAAAATTTAGTTCTTCTATTGCATTTGATTTTTGTTTTGTTTATACATATTTCAATATCTCTCAGGTACTCATAAATATTATTTAGTTCTTAAATTCCATTCTTTATATACGTTCTCAATTTTCGTCTGTTCTGATAACTTTGGTGGTCAGATTTGTAAGAGCGTTAATTTGATCCGTCGAGTAAATTAAGCAAAGATGGGAGGAGGAGAACATGGAGGGAATGGGCATGGAGCAGAAGATTTCAGGACGAAGGTGTGGAGCTTGTCGGGTGGCCCATATTGTCGACCCAAGCACTGGCGTCGCAACACTGCGATTGCCATGTTCGGCGTTGTTCTCATCTGTATCCCCATCGCCATGAAATCCGCCGAGCTCGAGGTTCCTAAACCCCTGCCTTTTCCCACTTTATTACCGTCTTTAATTGCTAATCAGAACGTCTTTTACCCTGATTGTATGAATTGCCGATTCCAGGTTTAACCCTTTGAGAATCTAAAGGGTTGGAACCATTATTATATGTTCAATACTAATATCTCTTTTAAGAATATGCTGGATCCTAATACAAATTTTATTTCAATTCTCAGTTATGGTAGAATCTGTATGCAGATAATTTGGAATTATATAGAAGGTATTGGTAGAGTACTAGAGTGAGGCCTTAATTAGTAAGGTTTTAGTTTGTTTTGATAAAAATGTAGGTTGAAGCTTGACAATTAAAAAAAAACCCCCAAAGAGTACCAACTGATTATTCAGACATTTAGTTGAACGTGAACTAGATGTATATCACTGTCCTCTAATTGTTCTTTCTTAAACTGTATTCACAAAACAAATGCATCTCTTTTTGATGAATAAACAAAGTTTTGATGTTCATAAAAATTGCTGTCAGTTTCAGTGTTTCATTATGCCCCATCCATGTTGTGCAAAGATTTGCTTTTCCTAGTAGCTTCTGGCTGTGCACTTATTCCTGATTATTCTTATTGATAACACTTTACCAGTTTAGATAATAACTTAAGATTGCAGCTTCTTCTTATCACATCTCGTCAACTTTATGTTAACTTACTCCATGGCTTTTTATTCCCTAATCTTGTACTGGCAATACATCAATGCTTTAAGGTCAACTGTCCATATGCCTACAAAGATGGCCTTTTTTTCATTCACTAAAGCTATGTTTGGTTATATAAGTACTAACACAGGAATAGCTTGATTATTACTTTAGTTTTAAAATAGTTTTTCATAACATAAAGAAGAATTAGTACAAATCTAAACTTGAAATTAGAAAGATGAGTAAAAACACAAGTAAAAAAAATAGTACCTATTCAAAATAAGCAATATTTATACATTCTCTTTGTTCAAACTAAGTCATCTGAGTGGTTAAAAATGATCAAGTGAAGTTAGTTAATTGCTAGCTCATTTACTAAACATGAGGAAAAGAATAAATGTTTACTGAAGCTAGTATGCAATTTTTATTGTTTTTATATGCACTTCTTATCTCCTTAGGTAGCTGCAACCCATCAACGCTGTGCAAAATTCTAATTCTCTAATATCTGCTAGCTTTGGACTTAATCCTTATTAATATCATGTCTCGGTTGGGAGAGAGGAGGAGAAGCACGTAGCGAAGGGCATTGGGGATTCAGAAAATGAATTAGGGATTGAGCTAGGGATTGCACGTAGTGAATTGGGGAATTTTGATTGTCATGATGGAAGAGGAATTAGGGTTGAAAAAGAGGGAATTGGGGATGAAATCGATTCAATTAGGGATTGGGAGCAAATCAGGGATTTGGAACGGGAAGGGAAATGGAAATGGGATGGATGGGTTGTCATATGAAGGATTTACTGTTGGACCAGAATTGAGGAGGATATTGGGTCAGCTGAGGCAAGAGGTGGGCTTAGTTAATGGTGGGCCACGGGTTGTATTCTGATGTGGCAATAGCTGCATATGATCCTGCATGAGTCAGCACAAGTTAGTTATTTTGTTAGATTTCCAGTACATACAGCTGTGGTACTTGTAATTATATAATCTGTACCCGATTCCATGGGGATTACCTTTGATGAATGAATGACAAATTCTCTTCTTAAAATTCTTCTTCTACTTCTCTAAAACCCCCATTCCTTATCCTAAATCATATATTCTCTCGTCTACTCTCTCATCTTTTCTTCTCTTCTTCGTCTATTGTCTTCTCTATTTCTTGAGGATCATAACAATTGGTAATCAGAGCCTATTCTTGATCCAACTCAAGCTGGGTAAACAGAAAACAACATGGTGGAAAATAAACCTCCAGAAATTCAAGAAACGAGCAGTGGAGAACCATCCAAGACTACACCGAAATGGTGGGAAAAACATAAAACAATTTGGGAAAATAGACTCAGCAGTTTAGAAGCCAGATCAGAAGAAACCAGGGAATGCCTTCAAAGAATCTTGAATCTAATGACCAAGAACGCTAAAGAAATGGAGCAGACAACTCCCATGAGCAAGCAGCAGAATTTGGTTAAAACCCATGCCAAACAGAAGATTTACGAGACTCTCAATTCAAGACTTGCGGTGTTTTTTAATCAAATTTTGTTCCCTCGTGATGTGCAACAAAAGATGCTTAAAGAGTCTGATTCGAGTGTTACTAGTTATCCTAAATCAACTCCAGTTCAGATGACTTATGAACAACAAATTACTTGGGAAAAAGGTATGGATCGACCTTCATTGGGTACTTCTCAACTCATTTTTATCCACTTCAAAATTTATTCGCCTGAAGGACAAGGGAACATGATGTTTCTCACGTGTTTGATAAAATGTCTGTAAGAGTAGAAGACGCATTTCAATCGATGTTTAGAGAAATTTATTTCTTAGAGTTTATGAATGTCAATACACATGTTGAGGTCTTTGATCCTTATTTGTTTTCGGCTTTTGTTGATGGGAAGATAAGTCCATTTGTTGGGAGTTTGAGTATGACTAAAAGGGAAATTGGTTCCGACCGTGAGTGGTCTGAAGAACAAAAGTTGGAATGGATAATATCCGAACCAAGTGGAAAACGTCCGTTGTTTGGTTTTGATCTTCCTATAACAGAAGAAAATGGTGTTGTTTTGGATATAATCAGTATCTTGGCAAAGTTTCCGGCATATAACTTTGGAGCATACGCCATTTCAATTGCAACTTTGACAGATCTTGGTTTCTTATGGTTTAGAGAATTTTACTTGGAGTCTTCTCGTGTCATTCAGTTTCCAATAGAGTGTTTCCTTCCTTGGATGCTGGTGGATCACGTGCTCGAGTCTCAAAGTGCTGGTCTTCTTGAAAGTGTGTTGATGCCATTTGACATTTATAACGACTCAGCACAACATGCACTGGTTGTGCTAAAGCAGCGCTTCCTCTACGATGAAATTGAGGCTGAGGTCGATCATTGTTTTGATATATTTGTTTCATAATTATGTGAAGCTATTTTCACATATTACAAGAGCTGGTCTTCTACTGAACTGCTTGATCCCTCATTCCTCTTTGCCTTGGACAATGGAGAAAAGTATTCTATCCAACATATGTGGTTTATTTCCCTTCTAAAGATGACTAGAGTGAAGTTACTTGGTAGGACAATTAATTTAAGAAGTTTGATTGTTGAACGGATGAATAAAGTCTTCAGAGAAAATCTTGAGTTTCTCTTTGATCGTTTTGAGTCTCAAGATCTATGTTCCATAGTGGAATTAGAAAAGCTGGTAGATATACTGAAGCATTCCCATGAATTACTTTCAAAAGATCTTTCAATAGACTCATTCAGTCTCATGTTGAATGAGATGCAGGAGAACATATCTCTTGTGTCATTTTCTAGTCGACTAGCTTCTCAGAGTTGGTCTGAGATGCAAAATGATTTTCTGCCAAACTTTATCCTTTGCAATACTACTCAGCGTTTTATCTGATCTTCAAAAGTTCCTCTTGCTCCTGTACAAAAGCCATCAGTTCCACATGCCAAGCCAAACTTCTATTGTGGTACTCAAGATTTAAATTTTGCACATCAAAGTTTTGCGCGATTGCATGGTGGATTTTTTGGGATTCCACACATGATTTCCGTTGTTAAACTTCTAGGATCTAGGTCTTTACCGTGGCTTATCTGAGCACTGCTGGATCATATATCAAACAAGATTGCTACACTTGAGCCTATGATCACAGGCTTGCAAGAAGCACTGCCGAAATCAATTGGACTTCTTCCTTTTGATGGGGGTGTGACAGGATGTATGAGGCTCGTTAAAGAGCAACTCAGCTGGGGAACAAAACCAGAGCTCAAAGCAGAAGTTCTTCGCGGAATAAAGGAGATTGGGAGTGTATTATATTGGATGGGGCTCCTTGATATTGTTTTGAGAGAGTTGGATACCACACATTTCATGCAAACAGCAGGTTGGTTGGGCTTGCTTCCTGGTGCAGATGGGCAAACATTGTATTCACAAAATGGTGGAGACAGCCCTGTTGTCAACCTCTTCAAATCTGCTACAGCTGCAATTGTGTCGAACCCTAGGGCTGTCAAATACGGGAAGTGTGTTAGAATACGCACTTGCATTTACAAGTGCAGCATTAGATAAATATTGCAGTAAATGGAGTGCTGCTCCAAAGACTGGGTTCATTGTTAGGCATATTCCGAGGAGTTGTAATTGTGAGGCTGACACCTTAGCTAAGCAGGGGATTGGATGAATATTTTAAATAGCCTTAGAGATTTTTTAGTAGGGTTGTTGGTTTATTGAGATTGTTGGGGCTGTGATAGTTCCGTTGTTGGGTATGGGAGGGCTGGTCGGATAGGGGAATTTGTTTTTTTGTTCTGTTATTTTTAAGGTTTTGTTTGCTTGTCTTATGGTTGTATCTTATGTACATTGGTTATGATCAATAAAATCCTAAGGCACTCTTTTCCTTCTTCCGTTGATTAAGGAGCTTCTCTAAAAGATCCTTTAATCAAGAAGGGGGTTTTTAACGAGGCATGTAATTCTTATAAAAAAAAACATATCAGCTTCAAAGGATTTTGTGGTCTTGCTATCACAAATGCGATACTTTGATACTTGGGGACAAGGATCGTCTAAAGGGGGAGGAATTGTCACGGTTGGGAGAGAGGAGGAGAAGCACGTAGCGAAGGGCATTGGGGATTCAGAAAATGAATTAGGGATTGAGCTAGGGATTGCACGTAGTGAATTGGGGAATTTTGATTGTCATGATGGAAGAGGAATTAGGGTTGAAAAAGAGGGAATTGGGGATGAAATTGATTCAATTAGGGATTGGGAGCAAATCAGGGATTTGGAACGGGAAGGGAAATGGAAATGGGATGGATGGGTTGTCATATGAAGGATTTACTGTTGGGACCAGAATTGAGGAGGATATTGGGTCATCTGAGGCAAGAGGTGGGCTTAGTTAATGGTGGGCCATGGGTTGTATTCTGATGTGGCAATAGCTGCATATGATCCTGCATGAGTCATCACAAGTTAGTTATTTTGTTAGATTTCCAATACATACAGCTGTGGTACTTGTAATTATATAATCTGTACCCGATTCCATGGGGATTACCTTTGATGAATGAATGACAAATTCTCTTCTTAAAATTCTTCTTCTACTTCTCTAAAATCCCCATTCCTTATCCTAAATCATATATTCTCTCGTCTACTCTCTCATCTTTTCTTCTCTTCTTCGTCTATTGTCTTCTCTATTTCTTGAGGATCATAACATACCAGTCTAATTTATTGTCAATTCACTTAATCCTGATTGAATACTAGTCTTTCAATGTTACTGGTTTTGTTAATAATTTACGGTTTCAGCTTCTATTTTCTCATCTTGTAAGCTCGAAGTCGTCTTCCTCCTGGCTTCATGGCACTCACTTCCTAATCTTTTACTGCAATATGCTAACGTTAGAAGGTCAAAAATCCATATGCCTTCCTTCCTAGACTGGATTCATCATTCACTTATTCCGAAAAAATAAAGATTTCCTAATGTTTTGATCACTAGAGGTAAAATGTTTTCTGTTGTTAAACTATTTTTCAAATACTAACATTTTTAATTCTAAAAAATATTTGAATATTTTTAAAAAATCTATTTAAAATTTTATTATTTGATATAATAATATTTGGAATGACTCTAGTTAATTTTCGATGTAAAAAATCACGTTTCTTATACGGAGTTATTCTCCAGAAAATTATTTACCCTGTTGAAAAGGAGAAGTCAATTTGCAAAAAAAAAAAAAAGCTTATTCAGTTGACCTGTAAGTCATTTTCCCTTGAGTAAGCTATTTTCTATGAAACTAAACATTTTTTGGAAGTCATTTTCAGTGAAACAAATATACCTTAATATAAAAATTGTCAGCTCATCAAATGAATGAAGTCAATATTCACATTTTAATTGCTTTATATGCACTTCTTATCTCCTTAAGCACCTGTAATTTCAACTGATTGAACTTACATATTAGAAACAAATTGTAGCTTAGTGTTGCCAAGACATGCACCTAGTCGCATCTGTGCCTTAGCTTATTCAACAAAGGCGCCTCACACCCTTTCAGGCTTGGTCCCTTTGATTAGGCAAATGCCTTGGCATGTTTTTTTTAGAGGTGATAAGAATTAAAAAGTTAGTCTAATTGAATTTCTCTTTACTTTCTTTTATTTTTCATTTGATATACCTTGTAAGAAAAGGATAATATCAAACTCTATCATTTGTAATATTTGAGCATTCAACAACATTGACTTAAGGAAATCACGCGTATTGATCAATAGAAAGATTACATGTTTTGTAGATAAACTAGACTGCACTTTAGAGTTTCTTATATATCTTAAGCTTTTTAGTCTTTTACACACACACACACTGCAAAAATCACACATAAATATTGCGCTTTACTTCATTCTGACTTGAACTATTTCTACGCATTGCGCCTGAGGCAATATAATGGTATAAGCGCCCAGAGTGCACCTTGCACCCTTGATGACATTGTTGTTGCTTATCTAATTACAAGTTTCTCGATAATAGGATCTAGATGTACATAGCCATGATCTGTTTCATAACTTTGTGAATACATCTATTGACTTGCAAAACTTGTACATCTCCATTTATCAGCTAGGTTCTATTAGAATGATATTTTTATCTAAAAGCTTATTTCTTGCAGCAACGACCCCATCAGCCTGTTCGTCCAATTCCTTCACAGCTTTGGTGCAAGAACTTTGGAAATAAAGACTATTAAGTCCGTTCACCCCCCCCCCCCCGGGGTTGATGAGGTATAAACGGTGGTTCAAACCAACATATGGGTGGTAATTCAGCAAACTTGCAATTGTTTATTGCCGTGGATTTGGTAACATTTCCTATGATTTGAATTTGAGAATGGTTTAGCTTTCTATATGATCAATAAGTTGTGCCTGTTACTTTCATCGTCATCTCCAGAAAATCTTGAAATTGGCTTTGTAACTCCATCTTTTTTGTTAGATAAACTTGTTTGTCTTGAATCAAACAATTCAAAAACACGTTTTCGCGGCACTTTTCAAAAACAATGTTAAATTAGCCCTAAAGCAGGATGCTGAAGTGATACAGAGGCTTTTTTTTTTTTTTGCATAATGCCAAAAAATACCCTTAAGATTTGATTAAATAGTCATTTTTGTTCATATTCTTTTTTTTAGCATTTTAGTCACAACGTTCTATTTTGACAAATAGTCATTTTAACTCTTATGCTTCTTTTTTTTAACATTTTTACCCACAATATTTCATTTTAAGGCTAAAAAATAAAATTTATATTTTGGAGCTTTAATTGTTTGTTGACTACGATTTTTATTCATGTAAAAGTTTTTTATACCAAAATGAACTGTTGGTAAAATAATTCAGAAAGATTGTCAAAGTGACTAATCAAATAAATGCTAGAGGTATTTTTGTCATTATGATATTTTTATTATTCGAGAAAGTTAAAAGGTGAAATAAAAGGATGGGTCACATGGTTGTAGGGGTGGGGGCGTTGTAAAGGCTAAAATTCTATTTGGGTGGCATGTGAAAAAAAGAGGAAATTAAAAGTGAACCTCGTTTTCTTTCTGCCGCAGCTTGGAGAGGTCAAAACTTCACTTTTCATGTCATGGTTTGCTTCTGTGGTTTCATGCTTCTTTTCTGAGAATGTGACACAGCTTCTGATAACTTCTCTGGATCACATCCGCATTTGAAGAATCAATTCCTTCTTCAGAACTGGAACTGATATATCTTCTCTTTCGTTGTCAGTCAAAAGTATAAATTTATAAAATAATGATATCAGTCCGTTAGGTAATTTTATTTTAAAAACCACAAGTAAATAATTATTTAAAGAAATAGAATCATCCAGAAATTATTTACTAGTATTCTGTCGTATCTGACCTTAAACGACCGATTGCAACCTATCTTTTGACGAGCATTTGAAATATTATCATTTTTTAAATGAATATGTCAACTTGATTTTTTTGGGCCAAATTAATATTTAAATTTAGTTTTTAGTTCAATTATATTGGAAACGAGATATTGATATCTTATAGTATTTTAAATTTGTTTGAATTCATGTAAGTTATCCTACTTGAACAAATTTAAATCACAAATAATCTACATTGAATTAATAAATCAAAATCATATATTAATTTAAACAAAAAAATGAATTTATATATTTAATTGGATCAAAACATACACATTAAAATAAACAAAGAAACTAAATTTAAGTATGAAAATGTGTATTTACTTTGTATTCCATCAAGTGAAGTAGGGAATAAGAATATTGAAATGAAGATTGGTTCAAAGTTTGTGGTCAAAGATGGTCTGAGATCGCCATCATACTCTGTTCCGGATTGTGATCTCAAAAGCGGATTAGTTATTCTTATGAAATTACCAAACAATGCCCCATCTATTACAAGAAGCACGGGACATATTCCTCCGCCCCACCGTCCCAAAATGGACAATTTGCACCCGTCATTGTAAAGCACTCTTCAATCTTCTATTCTATATTCATATGCCACTTATTTGTCCCTAACAAAAACACAATACCTTCTTTTTATTAGGCAACTTTAGATTCCATTAATATTTCAGAGAGAATTTATAAAACGTAAAATTTTTAGAGATTTATAATGAATTTTATCGTAATTTTTTTAATCGTTGTCAAGTGTTAATGATTTAACAAAGTTGATGGATATACAAAATAAAACAAAGATAAATTACACGTGTAGTACCTCAACTATCATTTTTATTATGCTTTATTACATAATTGTTTTTTTCTTAAATCATACCCAACATTTAATTTTTGTTTCATTATGGTTAGTTTTCCGTTAAAAAATTAACAGTGATGCTGACGTTTCACCGTAAGATAATGTCATATCATCATTGAAAAAATAAAAATATTACATCAACAGTTTTTTTTTTTAATTTTTTAAATAATATATGACTAAAAAGAAACCAAAATTAAATGTTAGATACAATTTAAAAAATAATTGAATAATCAAAACATAAAAAAATAATAATGGAAATACTAAATATATAATTTACATTAACATAATTAACCAAAAGTTTCTTGGCCAAGGACAACTATCAATAAGTTTTAATTTTATTTTTTACCTGCAAACATCAAAATGAAAGAAAATAAAAACTATATATATATATATATATATATTTAAAATATATAACACACATCATAACATATTAATAATAATACAAACCTAATCGAATAAAGTATGGATGATATATTTAAATGTTCATACAAATCAAATCCCTATCGAAGGAATATATTTAAACCTTTTAATTTTTATTTTTCATGGATTATCCTAAAATTTGAAAATTTTATTTTATACTTTAGTTTTATAATATTTAACTATATTATTTTTAATAACTATCATTTAAGAAGAGAAAAAAATTACTCTTAATAAATATTGAACTCACAACCTAAAAAGATATCAACTAAGAACATTTAATCAATTATTTTATTTTTTTATTAAATTGAGATAAGTACAAGATAATATATGTTTAAAGATAAAATCTTTAAATGATCTAAATGACTTAATATACAAATAAGTGATTAAAATATACAAAAAAAAATTTGGTTCTTAAAGATTTTTTGTTAAAATAGCTGTCTAATGTTTTATATATTATATTTTCAGGTGTCTATCATTAAAAAATTCGTTAAGTAATACATGTTACGTTTATATTTTTTAAAACTTTTTAAAATAAAATATTATTTAAAAAAATCTAAATTCGCTTAACTATTTTTAACGATAAATATCTAAAAATATAAAATAAAATATTAAATATTTTTAAAAAATACTTTAAATGTCAAAAATTAATTTTAAATATAATTTAAACATTTAATTTTATTTGAAGAGTGTCTAAATCATGGCGTGCAAATATCGAAAGTGGAAACTTTCCAACACAGTTAAAACTTAAAAACCACAAAAGCATGGGGCCCACGTTCCCTATGATTTACCACAACTTTATCTTCCCAAATACATCCTCTCTGCCCGTGTGGCAATCCATCTGCAGCAGCTTCCCCTTCATTTCTCAATCTCCACCGTCCATCCGACGCCAAACAACATTCTCTCCCTGCCCGCAATTCACGGGCACCTTCGGACAACTTCACTTTTAGACACTCTATATATTTAAGACTACCGTAGACCAAACCAAAAAAAAAAAGTCAAAGAAATTAAATAATAAAAGAAATTAAAACCTGTAGAAATTTTTTTACACTGTAAAAGCAACTGAACACAGTCTTAAAAATCCAATTCTCCCATTGGTTTTCTTATTATAGTAGCGGCGACATTTTTTGACAGAACGGCCTTTAAGACAGTTTTCTTCTTTGGAGTTGTGTTGTTCTCCTCAGCTGTGGCTTTGGATCTTGAAATCTAGGGATCGGAATGTGGAATCTCACGCGCTTTGCATCGTCCAGGTTGAGCCGCACGCGGCGGTTGTTCTCGTCGGCGATTCCTGGTCCTTGTATTGTTCACAAGCGTGGAATTGATATTCTTCATGATCCTTGGTTCAATAAGGTTAGCTTATTAGTTCTATAATGTAGCAATTTTTTATGCTTACTGAAAGTGAATTTTGCTTTGACTTCGAAATGCTTTAATGAAAAATTGGAACTTGATTAATTTGTCTTAGATCGTGTTTTCGAAATATAAGCTCGATTTTCCCCCCTTTGATGTAATCTCTGCTTATACAAGCTTTTGACTTTTTCCCCCTCTAATTGCAGGATACTGGCTTTCCTTTAACAGAAAGAGATCGACTTGGGCTCCGTGGTCTTCTTCCGCCACGTGTGATATCATTTGAGCAGCAATATGATCGTTTCAGTAAGTTTGTTTGACACCTACCATTCAAACATGTGATATTTCCAGAACATATTTGTAAGTTTTCCATATCAAGGAAGACTTGGAGCAACTTATCCATAAATCGATTTGTTGTGTATTTGCCTTTTAGGAGCATTTTTCCGAGTTGTTGAACTTGTTCCCATTTTTTGCAATAGCCTTGATTTTGACTGTTTTTAATTGGTAGTGGACTCATACCACTCCTTGGAGAAAAATACTAAGGGCCAACCCGATAGTGTCATTGCGTTAGCAAAATGGAGGATCTTAAATCGATTGCATGACCGGAATGAAACACTATACTACAGAGTAAGTTTGTGTCTATGGTATTCATGCAATTTTTTTCTCTACTTCTCATATCATTCGAACTTATTCTGCTTTGCTTTTCTGCTCCAGGTCCTTATGGACAACATCAAAGATTTTGCACCGATAATTTACACGCCAACTGTTGGACTTGTATGTCAAAACTACTCTGGACTGTTTAGACGCCCGCGTGGAATGTATTTCAGTGCGAAGGATAAAAGAGAGATGATGTCTATGATATATAACTGGCCATCTCAACATGTAAGTTTGTGGATCTTGAGAGTGTTGGAGATTGCACGTCATTCCTTCTGCTCATTTTCACTCTAGTAAAGCAGGCTATGGATTTTTGCTTTCTGGGTTTAATATGCTACCTTGAATTCCTGTCTCACAGGTTGATATGATAGTCCTGACTGATGGCAGTCGTATTCTTGGCCTTGGCGACCTTGGAGTTCAGGGTATTGGAATACCTATTGGAAAACTTGATATGTATGTTGCCGCTGCTGGTATCAATCCACAAAGGGTATGAAATACTAACTCTTTTCTTCCTCCTTCCCGTGTATATTTTCATGTACATGCATGTCTTCCTTTTATAACCCGGCAAGCTTATACATTCTTATTGGTACTTAACGCCATTAAGATGGACCATGTGTGTGTATATCTACCATTTGCCGACTTCCATGCTCCAGTTTGGTTGATTTCTTTATTTGACAAATCAGGGGTCCATAATGTTTCTCCCTTATATTCAAGTGCACAAATTATTTGTGGCTAAGTGGACAACATTACCTTTTGGTTTCTTATATGTTGCTTTTAAAGTTTGTTCCTACCATTTTATTTTGTTTTCCCTCACATTCTCTATTTTCTCTTGCTATGGTGATTTGTATCTTGTGTTTAACTTCAATTAGTCAATCAGTTTTCTGTCTCTTACAGATACTCCCAGTTATGTTAGATGTCGGTACTAACAATCAAAAGCTACTGGAAGACCGGCTCTGTGAGTAAATTATATATTTTAACTACTCTTCTCTTATGAAGTTGTTACCTTTGCAGAGTGGACCGTGTGAGATGCTTTCGGATGATTTTGTTTCCTGATAGGTTGTGCCGATTTCTTTTGACATGTTTCTTTGGCTTGACAGATTTGGGACTAAGGCAACCTAGGTTAGAAGGGGAAGAATATCTATCAATTGTTGATGAGTTCATGGAAGCAGTTCACACACGTTGGCCTAAGGCTATTGTACAGGTTTGTCTCTTTCAGATGGGAGACTGTCATATTATGCTTCGTTTATATGATTATATCATGTTGTTTATTTAATGGTTATGTCGTTCAGTTTGAGGATTTTCAAATGAAGTGGGCCTTTGAAACCCTGGACCGTTATCGGAAAAGGTTTTGCATGTTTAATGATGACATACAGGTGAGCACTTGCAGCTGCTACTTGCTACTTTTATGAACTAGTGTCTAGTTTAATACAGATTGCTACAGAATCATTTTGAGTGCCACCATTATTAAAACTTGTGCTGCCTACTTAATGCCTTGTAGGGAACTGCTGGAGTTGCACTTGCTGGATTGTTAGGATCTGCAAGAGCACAAGGTCGGTCATTGGCCAACTTTCCGGACCAGAAAATAGTTGTGGTGGGAGCTGGGAGGTGCTGATTTAACTTACAGATAACTATTGGGCTTTCAGTCTTTTACCATAATATTTTGTGCCCATTCTTGGCTTTACTTCTCATATCCGCCTTTCCATCTGTCTTCCAGTGCAGGGCTTGGTGTTCTTAGCATGGCTGTGCAAGCTGTTACGAGAATGACAGGAAAACATGAAACTGCCGCACAAAACTTTTTCCTACTTGATAAAGATGTAAGTTTTATATTTCCACTATCTGCTTTATTCATAGTTTCCTTTTTTTTAAAAAAAAAATTGTTCTTTCTTATTAGAAATTATTACGGTTTGACACACAATCTAGATTCTCTCATTTTAGCTATACTTCTAATGTTGTTTGTTGTCAATTAAGGGTCTCATCACTAAGGAGAGGAAGAATCTTGATCCAGCAGCTGCGGCATTTGCTAAAGTTCCAGGACATATAGCTGGACTTACAGAGGGGGCTTCTCTACTTGAAGTGGTAAGTTCAATGCCAGTGCTAGAGAGGTGGCACATATAAGTACCTGGCTGATGTATATGAAGTTGTGTAGACAGAACTAGTGCAAAATTTGCAGTATACTGTGACGTAAAAAATAGATATTATGCTACTCTTTAAGTATAGTTTTCCAAAAGTTATCAATGCTGTTTATGCGTATAAGAAGAACTAATTGCTGTAAAACTAATTTTATTCAGGTTAAAACGGTTAAACCCGATGTGCTTCTTGGTCTGTCTGGAGTTGGTGGTGTGTTCAATGAAGAGGTGAAAATTCTCACTTTTCCAAATGTTTCTATTATATGTAATGTTGCTACCTTTTTTTTTTGTTTGGAGGAGTTTATACGTATTTTTTATTCTAGTTACCGTGTACATTAAGCATTGTTTGAATTACTTACTATGCTGGCAAAAAAACAGGTGCTCAAGGCCTTGCGTGAATCTGGTTCAACTAGACCTGCTATTTTTGCAATGTCGAATCCCACCATGAATGGTTTGTTTTTCCTGCCCCGTCATGCATTTTGATTTTCCTTACGAGACTAGATCTCTGTCTAAGCATTCTGTTTGCATTCCCATTGGACAGCTGAATGCACTGCAGCTGATGCTTTTAAGCATGCTGGAGAAAATATAGTCTTTGCCAGTGGAAGCCCTTTCGAAAATATCCAACTTGGTATTTTCCATGCTATCAAGTTCTTCTTGTTCGAAAGATTTTGCTTAAAAAATTTACAAGAACCGACTGCTTCGTTCTCTCTCACGATTCTGGTATTTTAAGAGCTTGTTATCATATCTTTATTAATCATTTGCTTGCTGATGATAGGTAATGGAAAAGTGGGCTATGTAAACCAAGCAAATAACATGTACCTGTTCCCAGGGTAGGTCTTATTTTCTGGTTCCTTATTATTCTATTCTTAACCTTACTTGGATCTAAACTTTGCATTCAATTTTTGTTGCAGGATTGGTTTGGGAAGTTTGGTCTCCGGTGCTCGTTTTATAACCGATGGAATGTTGCAAGCTGCTGCTGAATGGTACGAATATTATTATTTTCGCATAGTTCTTCTCTTCTTGTTTTCTCTCTTTGGAAATAAGTCTTTTTTACTATCGGTGAATGCGAGTCATGTGATGGCATCCTTGCAGCCTTGCATCTTATATGAGTGATGAGGAAATTCAGAAAGGCATCTTGTATCCATCCGTCAACAGGTAAATATGCTATAATTTGCCTGTCACAATAGATGTTGATTTTAAAAGTCCTAATTCTCTGCTAACTTCATCATCGTTGAGTTAATCCCGGGTGTGTACCATGCAGTATTCGACACATTACAGCTGAGGTTGGAGGATCTGTTCTACGAGCTGCTGTTGCCGAGGGAGTGGCAGAAGGGCATGGAGAAGTGGGACCTAATGAACTGGCGAACATGTCAAAAGTATGAAATCCATCTTCCTTCACCTTCTTTTTATTCATTCCCTTAGAAAGGCTCATTCATAAGATAAAACTTCTAACCTCGAACTTTTTCACTTCGGGTGCAGGAGGAGACGGTGGAATACGTATTCCAAAATATGTGGTTCCCGGTTTACAATCCACTTGTTCATGAAAAGTAGACTTTGATATTTGTATTTGTTTATCACGATCTGGCGGTACGGACACCCAACTTCAGCCGGGAAACAAGCCTAGCTTTGTTCTTTCAATTACTATTAAGACTATACTACCATTTTATCCTCTTTTTTTTCCAAATAAATAAATTTGAACTGTTACTTATTAAGAGTTCGACACCATTACTCTTTAGCAAATTTGTATGCTCTTCTTGTTGGAGTATCAATGTTCAGTTTGGGGACGAATGTGTATGATTTTATGTTTGGTGATGAATTTTAGAGAGAGAAAATAAATTATTAATAAATGATAATCTAAAAATTTTAAGCAACGACTAATTGGGCCACTCCCTTAGCCCATCCTTTGTTGGTCCACCGTCCAGAGATGAATTTGATTTGAAAGTATGTGGCTCTGAGGTCTCAAATTCAATTCATCCTACCCACCACGATTGCCATTCTTATCTTGTTTCGTGTAATATTCAAAGTCGAGGATCGAGTTGAAATTGTGTTCTCTCATGTCATATTCAAGTGCCACGTACAAATTAGATCCACCGACAATATTTTAGCGGTTCAACCTTTTCATTTCCAAGAAATTGCCCCTGACAAATGGCCTTTACATCTAAATATAGAGTTTTTTTTTAAAATAAATAACATCTACTTTTAATTATTTATCACTATTTTGAAAAAAAAGTATTCTTACGTGAAACGTATTTCGCATACATAAAATTAAGGAAGATGAACGATAACTTATTATACGTATTATAATAAACTATCATGACACATAAAAAGATAATGAACGACAACTTGTTATATATATTGACACGTATTATTTTTTAATTTTACTCATTATTTTCTTATTATTATTCAATACTTATTTTTTAGGGTACAAATTTATATTAAAATGGTTTGAAGATAAGTTTGAGGAGTTTAAAATGAAAAATTTCAAATGTTATAACTATGTTGTTAAATAAAAAAGGATGTATACGCATGAAGGGTATTTTGACATGATCATATAAATACCCACTTTATTAAGACAACAAATTAAGTGTCATTATTCTATAACTGTCTTAGATTAAAACAAATATTATTGTTTAGGTGAACAATTTTAAAAACTAAAGGGGAAGTCTTTATTTAAATGCAAGACAACTAAATTTTTCACCCGAAGCTACTAGAGAAATACAGAAGAAAATTGCGGTGAAAAAGTCCAATAGGATATTATCTTGCAAGTGAGAAAGATACTCTGTATAAAGTATTTTTATAAAGAGAAAATAATTTCAGTGGCAAAAAATGTCTTATAATATACGATTTTAATTATTTTTTTTTTGATTTGCCGAAATGACCAACTAAATCGCAATGCAATCGATAATTCGCAACGCGATCTCCGGTATCGCAAATCAGTTTCCAGATTCGCAACGCAATTCTAACTATCGCATTGCGATTTTCCTAATTCGCAATGCGAATATGTAAATCGCAACGCGAATTTGGAAAATTACAATGCGATTACGTAAATCGCAATGCGAATCTGACTATCGCAATGCGAATCTGACTATCGCAATGCGAATCTGACTATCGCAATGCGTTTTACATAGCGCCATTCGTATTAACGCGTATTTTTTTTCCAAATTCCAAACACGAATATATTAATATATCGGAACACTGAACCATCCACAGTATATCCCGTAATCGCAACTCATAACCTAAAATCCTAAATCACAACTCAGTCTCATCTCCATCTCTCACTCTCTAAGGCGACATCCGTTCCCATCTCCGACGAAATCAGTCCCCACGACGATATCAATCTCCATCTCCGGCGAAATCATTCACGGTCAGAAATGGAAAATCAACCAAATCAACCACCGATGGTTAGTTTTTTTAATTATTTTTATTTTGAAATTTTTGCATTATTATTAGGTTTTTCATATTGAAATTGATGATAAGTTTACTGGTGTTTTCAATAATAGATTAACCATTTCACTTAGATTGCTTATTATATTCATTCGATTGCTGTCAATACTGCTAAACTGTTTAGTCTTTAACCCTGTGAAGTTAGTATTTGTCTTTGTTTTGTCTTTTGGTTGAAGTAATGCAATCCATTCAAGTTTCTTTCAATTTTAGTATTTGAAACCGAGAATGACTATCGCAATGCGATTCTGTCGTTGTGATTTTCATTTCGCGTTGCGATAGTCAAATTCGCGTTGCGATAGTCATTTTCGTGTTGCGATTTTCATTTTCGTGTTGCGATTTAAAGTTTCAGAAATTATTCTTCTTCTGCAAATTGAAACTTGAATGAATTGCATTACTTCAACCAAAAAACAAATACTAAATTCATAGTGTTGCAAATTTAAGTTTGAAGAATAAACTACTACTCTTTATGTTTATTGTTCATATCTTCACAGTGTAGTTTTTGGTATATCTAAATTGGTATGTTTATTGTTTTTACAGAACTTTTATTCGGCTCAATTGACCTTAAGAAATAAAGTAAGCATGGCCAAAACAATTGCGTCGAAGCTTTCACCTGCACAAAGAAAAATATTTGATGATACTTGCTTCGGGCCATGGCTGAAAGTACAACATCCGGGTGGAGATGCTATGTTGACCCATCTGTTTCTTCAAACCATGACTAGAGATCTACCAGAGACTATACAATGTCTTGATGAAGAGATATGGTTTGATTTTCCACCGGCGTATACGTGTTTTGGGCGGGAGGAGTTTTGCTTAATCACCGGTCTACGCTTCGGAAACGATGATGTAGATCGGTACACTAGACATATTACCCACCTATCATGATTTTCCCGGGTTTTTCCTGAGCTGTCAACGGAGAAGTCGAATTTACACGTGGAAGACTTGACGAGATTATTGAATAATAAAGATGGTTTTACTCGGATGGATGACGTCGATGTTGTCCGAGTATGCCTTCTAATACTTTTGCAAGCTGGCTTTTTAGGCAGAGAGGCCCGACAACCTATTCCTAATGATCTAATTAAATTGGTAGAGGACCTAAATGCATGGAACCTGTTTCCGTGGGGTTTATATCTATGGAGAGCTACATGGAATAAGTTGTCGTCTGCCTTTAATGATCAGAAAAGTTTGCGTGACGATGGTTCCAAATACACTTTGTCAGGCTTTATTTGGGCCTTTAAGGTAATAATTTTTATATAATGTTTCCAAAATTATAATTAATTCTTTAACAATTACTAATGTTTGTTATTATATTGTTTGTAGATTTGGATATTTGAGGCATTTCCTGTCATGCAGACATATGCATTAAAAACTTCTAATGATATTCCTAGGGCTATTTCCTGGAAGAGGAAACGGTCCTTGCAGCAATGGGAATATTTACTATCGTATACTACAATAAATAATGTAAGTTAACACAAATACTACCATATGTTTATAAACAAGTTATTACTAGTACATGTTTAACTTTGTTTGAGCTTTTATATTGTTAGGAGGCCAACACTCCATTACAGAGGCTGACACCCACGGAAGCTGAGCTTGCCACTGATTGGTGGTAAGCTAGTAAGCTTTTTTTTGATGGCACGGATGATGAGCAGCCACCACTTCGAGAGCCATCACCTCACCCAGAGTCATCACCTGATCGACCTGAATATACACCTCCACAACGAGAGTCATCACCTATTCTGTCACATCATCGAGCCTCTTCTCCACCATCACCTCATGATAGGCGACCGGCAAATATGTCACGACGTTTATCTCCATGTTCTCCACCTCTACCTCCACGGGATGAGTTAGGGGAGTTACGTAATGAGGTCAATGCCTTGCGTGAGGAGGTCGGTACTTTACGCGATGACAATGGTGCATGGCGTGTTTAGGTGTCTACTTTACGTGGTGAGGTAGCAGCTCTACGTGAGATTGTAGCATCGTTGCAGAACAAGGTTCATACTCTACGCAACGAGGTAAGTTTAATATTTTTCATATTTAACTTGATGATAAATTTACTCGTAATTTCACTTAGATTGCTTAGTAAATTCATTCGGTTGCTGCCAATATTGTTTAATTATTTATTCTTTAACCCTGTGAAGTTAGTATTTGTTTTTTGTTTTCTTTTGGTTGAAGTAATGCAATCCATTCAAGTTTCAATTTGCAGAAGAAGAATAGTTTACTATCGCAATGCGAAAATGACTATCGCAACGAGAGAATCGCAATGCAAAAATGACTATCGCAATGCGAAAATGACTATCGCAACGAGAGAATCGCAATGCGAAAATGACTATCGCAATGCGAAAATGACTATCGCAACTAAAGAATCACAATGCGAAATGAAAATCGCATTGCGATTCTCTCGTTGCGATAGTCAAATTCGCATTGCGATAGTCATTTTCGTATTGCAATAGTCATTTTCGCGTTGCGATTTTCATTTCGCATTGCGATTCTCTCGTTGCGATAGTCATTTTCGCATTGCGATAGTCATTTTCGCGTTGCGATTTTAAGTTTCAGATTCTATTCTTCTTCTGCAAATTGAAACTTGAATGAATTGCATTACTTCAACCAAAAGACAAATACTAACTTCACAGTGTTAAAAATTTAAGTTTCAAGAATAAACTACTACTCTTTATGTTGTCATTGAACCTGCACTAAACCTATATATGTTGTCCTTTTAAATGTTTATATAAGTGCTTACTTCTGGAATGTTATCTGATGCATTTTGTGAACAATGATATAATAATGACTTGGGTGAATACTGTGCAAGTTTGAAATATATTTGTCTTTGTTTTCACTATTTAATATCATGTCTGTTTATTTACTGATTTATGTATTAATTTATTTTTAGCGGTCCGCTAATGTGGATGCTCTACGTTGGGTTTTTCTTGTAAGACGGAGTTCACGCATCAGACGGCGTGCACGTGTCATTACGTCTCTGTTCACCCCAATAGTGCGAAGAATCCGTAAGAAAAAGACCGACTCACCTGTCATCGTTCAAGAGGCCTCCCCTATCGTTCAAGAGGCCCCTATCATCCCTCAAGAGTCCCCTCCCACCGTTCAAGAGGCCACTGTCATCGTTGAAGAGATCTCTCCCAACATTCTAGAGCCCGATTCACACAGCGTAATATATCGAATTATTGAGAAGCCCCCTCACGTGCCGGACATGATGGATGACTGTTGGCTTTCGTATAAGTTACCGGCCAGTACCATTCCGGAAGATAAAGTGGAAAGGAAACAACTACCAAAAATAATTCTGGATAATACCCTTTGGGCTAAGACCGCAGTTGATTTTTATCTACATGAGCGGAGCCAAGGGTGTTACGCTGACATATACAAACTCAACGATGATATGCATTTGTTGATTGAACAGTCTTGGTGGGGTGTATTATTAGGGGTTGAAGACAACGACTATTTCGATGGGGGGTAAGTCTTATATTTCTTCTTATATTTCAGTTTGATTAATTTTTTTAAAAAATTATGTAATTCACTAATATATGTCTTTTTTTGTAAAACAACATATTGATGCATGGGTGACACATCTTCTAATTGTAAGGAAATTGAAGAAAAATATAAAAAAAATGCGATATACAATTATGCCGACGTCTTTTCACGTAGTTCACTTGAAGAATCAACGACATGAATCATATGTGTTGGCTAATGGACAAGCTAAACTTTATCCTGCATGGTGGGATGTCGATAAGGTTAGTATATTTGTTTAAATATTTTAAAGGTGTTCATAAATAAGTGCGCAATTTGAATTATTACATTTCGATGCAAGTGTTTATCCCTGTTTTGGACCGTACTCATTGGCTTCTCGTCGAGCTTCAGCTCCCATCCCTAAAGACAATAGTATATGACAGCATGATAAATTACATATCATTGTCTGATTTGAGAGATATTATTAATGGATGAAGCTCTCATTTGGCTAAATTCTTGGATGCAATTAATTATTGGACTAAGTCTGGAAACAATAAGCCAAAGAAGTTCAATGTTACAGTTATCAGAGATGAGACCGCGCCACAACAAACGAAGGAAGCCAGAGGGGATTGTGGTCCTCTCGTATGCATGTGCTTGGAGCGTTTGACAACAGGAAGTACACATTTTCTACCTCCCACCGATAGAGATAGAGGTGCAGTAGGCTTGTGGTTTCGGCATTTTATGGCTAGAGCGATATATGCGAGACGCTGCCTACCTGCATCCGCGTTATGAAAGTGTCCATAAACAATTTGTAAGTCAAATGCAAGTGTTGTTAAACATATATACTCTTTTTGGTTTGAAAATGTTTGGTTAAGTAGCTAGAATTCAATAATTTGTTGTTTGTAGGTTTTAGATGTGTAAAAAGTGTTGTTGATTCAATGTTTAGTTTATGCAGGTTAATCCTGAAGTGAGCTGCGTGAAATGGATGTATGGGAGCAAAAGTTGATTTCATTATTATTTTTTGATTGTTTAATTGATTTGTAAAAGATGATTTGTAAATGTTGATTTGTTTAATTGATATGTACATAATATTTGTGCTTGTTTAATTGATTGAAATGTAATAGTTGATTTGTTGATTTCAATCTGCATTATGTTGAATGCAAAACAGACTATCGCAACGCAGAAATGACTATCGCAACGAGAGAATCGCAATGTGAAATGAAAATCGCAACGAGTGAATCGTAATGCGAAAATGAAAATCGCAACGCGAAGCTAATTTCGCGTTGCGATTTTCATTTTCGCATTGCGATTCACTCGTTGCGATTTTCATTTCGCATTGCGATTTTCATTTCGCATTGCGATTTTCATTTCGCATTGCGGTTCTCTCGTTGCGATAGTCAATTCCGCGTTGCGATAGTCATTTCCGTGTTACGATAGTCATATTCGCGTTGCGATTTCCGCGTTGCGATAGTCAAATGAATGTCTAATAAGTGATAACAACTGAACATATCATAGGAATGTTCAAACTCAAGTTACTAATACATGCCTAACTGAAAATGTTAAAAGTTCACACATAATATACACATAATACAATATTTTCATTTAAAAATCACCTAAGTTAGCAGTCCCAAAAGGTGGAGCCGGTTGTGATTGGGATTTTGATGAGGATCCATATTTTGGTAGAGGAAAATATGATTGTGATGGCACTGGTGATCCACATGTCAACCTTGTATGACCACTTTCCTTGCACAGACTACATGTTGATCTCTTCTTCTCTTCACCCTTAGACGGTATACGATCGTGACTTTTTGGTCGGCCAGGTAGCCTTCTGTCCATGGCTGGTGGAAAAACTGTTTGTAAGTCATCTGGTATGTCCCACTCAGAAGGATGTGGAATAGGGTAGACAATCTCGCCATAAGTCTGTCGATATACTTCTGTAGTGTAGCAATCCATATCGTATGCGCTTGAATCATCTTGGTTTAGATTAAGAGAAACTTTTATAACATGGACACACGGATAACCAGATGTTTTCCATTTCATACAACTACACGTCTTTGCATTTAGATCGACAAGCCCATTTAAGTTATTATCAAGTACTTCAAACAAAGTGTTTGAACATGGTTCAACTCTCCATGACGTTGACTTCACAACACGTTTCGTTATCTTTTTTTCTGTCCATGGTATAACACGATGTTCCAATGATCCTGTAAATTTAAATAAATAATACTTAGTAAAATATATGATAAGTTACGAATTTAAAGAAATAATACTTGCATGGTTTCTTTTCTTGTAGTACCACTGTTGAATAGAGGCTCAAAAAAACTCCATTAACATAGTAATGGGTAATTTCCGGGAATGACGACTTAGAGCGTTGATTGATTCTGCACTATTAGACGTCATGAAACCATATCTTGCTCCAAGTTATTGTACTCTTGACCATCTTTCAAACCCGGCATCTTCTAGTGTTTGAGCACACTGAGGCAAAACACGTCTTAAACAGTTTATATGCTTATTAAAATCCACTTCCCGATAAGCTTTTACAGTCTTCCAGTATGTCCATTTATGATTTTTTATACCAGCAGACCTTGATTTTAGATTTCTATACAAATGAACACCACAAAGTCCATGAAAAGCATATGGGAAATACCTTCTAACAGCGTTGTCAATTGAGTTTGCCCTATCGGATATGATTGTCAGATTGCTAATAGGACCTATGCAATCCCTAAGATGCCCCATAAACCATGTCCATGAATCAGAGGTTCTAGATTTTCCAACCCCGTAAGCTATTGGCAGTATCCCATTGTTAGCATCCATGGTTACTGCTAATAAGTTTACTCCAAGGTATCGACCTTTTAAATGTGCTCCGTCAACTATAATAACTGGGCGCATGCAATTAATAAACGAACGAATCTACAAAATCATATATACAAGAAATATAATCATTTAAATGTGAAATGCATGTAACTAACAAAAATGATTCAACAAAATTATATTGATTTACTAACCGCAGCACCAATAGCGATAAACAACAACTCAAAGCGTCCATCTCTATCTGTTTTGATATGAGTTACCGACCCAGGATTTTTCAGCTTTAAATTGTGACAATAAGCCGGCAGTTGGGCAAACGACGCTTCTGGCGACCCCCTCAACAATTCCAAGGCATAACATTTGGCTCTCCAAGCTTGAGAATATGAGATACTAATCTTGAACCGAGCATTCATGTCAGTCATAATTTCATGTCCCCGATATACCCTGCCATTCAAAAACATTAACTCAGCCAGAAAACCACCCAACACCTTTTTGTTTGTCTGTCTATGGTGAGGAAAAACTTGGGTTATTGAACATGTATGTTTATCAATAAAAGTCCTAACTTGAAATATTTCACAATCTTTTATCCTCTTTGCAATCATACGCCACGTATAGTTTTTGTCAATCATACACCTTGTTTCGAAACGATATTTGCTTGATTTGTTAACTTTTAGTTGATAGCCATATTCCACACATTTCGTATACAAAGCTATCTTCAAGTCTTCCTTTGTATCAAAACAATCATCTTTCTTGATATGAATAATTTTTGTGTAACAATCAACTGCTATCTTTACCAACTCTTCTTCCGGTATCTGAAGTAATTCTGGCATATTCCAGTTATACTCCCGTGGCATTTTCTTCGAGGACTTTTCTTTGGGGATTTCTTCTTTTTCTTTTTCTTCTTCAGTGTTATATGAATTACAGAATGGATGTTCAACATGTTCATTTACAGTCGTAACTTCCTCCTCATTATCATCAACAACATCTTCCTCGGCAACGACTGTTTCATCATCAAAATTCGGGTATTGACCAATATCAAAATCATTACACGCAGGGTCTGTTTCTTCTTTTGAAAAATCATCAAAATCCGAGTATTGACCAAGATCAAAGTCCGGGTATTGACCAAGATCAAATTTCGAATACTGACTAGTACTCACAATTTTTTCTGTTGGCTCATCATCGTCTAACTGGTCAATACGAAAACCGGAATTTGGTGCTGAAAGTTGATTGAGATTTGGATTAGGGAAAGGTTGTGGGTTTTGAGATTGTGTTTGGTATTGGAAATGTGGTGAAACAATATTTGCTTGGTGATGAAATTGTGGTGAAACCATTAAATTTTGAGCACCATAAACTGGGGTTGAAAAACTTAGTTGATTACTACCCGCTACTGACCCAACTTCACTACTTCTAGGTTCAACAACATACAATGTAACATCATCACTTGAAACACTAATATAAGCAATGAATCGTTCAACATCTTCATTGTCGGTTAACAAATAAACTTTACCATTTCTCTGATAAGATAGCCCAAATCCACTTAAGGGCTCTAAATTCAATTTATTTGCAACACGTAACATTAGAGTTTCATAAGTTAACTTTTTTAATGACAGTTTTAGTTGAAGATTCATGGGTAAATGCATATATTGTAAAACACCATGAACATTCTCCCATGACCTTCCAAAACACAAATCTATTCAAACATGATCAACATTAGATGATTTCATTATTGTAAATTAATTTACTAAACAAACGAGCTGCGAAACTAAAACCTGTTGCCGGATGGGGAAAGATGTCGTTGGATATAGGAACGGATGTCGCCGGAGAGAGTGATAGATGGAGATGGAATGAGTTGCGATTTAGGGATTTAGGTTATGAGTTGCTGCTGCTGCGTAGTTATATACTCAAAACATTTGTGTTGCGAAACTAAAACCTGTTGCGAATTCAGAAATCGAATTGCGAATTTGAAATTCAGTATTGCGATAGTCAGAATCTCGTTGCGATTTACGTATTCGCATTGCGATTTTCCAAATTCGCGTTGCGATTTACGTATTCGCAATCGCGTTGCGAATCTGGAAACTGATTTGCGATACCGGAGATTGCGTTGCGAATTATCGATCGCATTGCGATTTAGTTGGTCATTTTGGCAAATCAAAAAAAAATTGGTTAAAATCGTATATTATAAGACATTTTTTGTCGTTGAAGTTATTTTCTCTTTTATAAAAGAGTGATATATTAAAAAATAATTAAAAATAAAGGTTATTTAAGTAAATACCTTTTTCCCTTTTTTTGTTGGTAAATTTGGCCCATAAAACCGCTGACAGGTACAAATGCAAACTTGTATAAAATCGCACTCTCGCGCGTTCACCAGCAACCTCGAGGCAGCAAATAGGAAGAAATGGCAGAAACACGCGATTTCCTCGCAACAAAGAGGTAGCCCCGTGAAATAAACTCTTCATTCTTCACACATCTTTAACATAATTTCTTTTTTTTTTTTTACTTTAATTTGTTAAAGGTATGCAGTGGTGAGCGGAGCAAACAAGGGAATTGGTTTGGAAATATGTAGGCAGCTGGCTACCAAAGGAGTCACCATAGTGTTAACTGCTAGAGATGAGCAAAGGGGCCTTGAAGCTTTCCAAAAGCTCAAGGACTCTGGTCTTTCTGATCATCTGGTTTTCCACCAGCTTGATGTCACGGACCCTCTTAGCATTGCTTCACTTGCAGCTTTCATCAAAACCCACTTTGGAAAACTTGATATCTTAGTATATAATCTCTCCTCTTTCTTTATTTTGGTAATATGGGGATGGACTGAGGTCGGCGGTCAGGCCAATCGCTCTCTAACAATTTTAAATTATCGTATATTTTAGATTTTTTTATATATTTTTAAAAGTCTGCCCCTTTAGCATAAAATTCTGTGTCTTTGCTTGGGGGTTAACAATGGTATAAGAACAATTACGATAATGATAGTGGTAATGGTGAAATCTGTTGCAGGTCAATAATGCTGCGGTTGCTGGAGTCACTATTAACTACGAGAGATTAGCTGCAGCAGTTGAAGATTGCGGTGATTGGGTAAGTCTTTAGATTCCATACTACCACAACTTGTTTCAAGTTGTTTTATGGAGTTAAATTAAGATAACAATGGAAATACATGTCGGGCGTGGTCTATCGTATAGTGAAGAAGGATCATATGATGTTTTTTTGTTGATGGAAGTACTTAGCTTAACTTGTGTGAGACCGATAAAGATCAAGCCATTAGAATGTTTTATCCGAATTTATACCCCAAATTTCTCCATTAAGCGTTGAACTTAAAACTGCAGAATAATATCACTTCAACATGTCCGATCAGGTAGCTAACTAGAAGCTGGATTCTGTTGCATATACATTTTCTTTCATATGAGTATTGTTAATGGTCTGTCTACTTGTGGGAATTACTAACGGATAGGTTGAAAATCCTTTATGGATGCAGCCAGTTGGGGAGCAAATTTGGAATGAAATTATTACAGAACAAACTTACCATCAAGCTGAAGAATGTCTGAAAACGAACTACTATGGTATGAAAACACTGGTTGAAGCACTACTTCCCTTCCTTCAGTTATCTGATTCGGCAAGGATCGTAAATGTTTCCTCTTATCTTGGAACATTGAAGGTATTGTTTTAGTTCAGATGGTTGTGTTGCCAAAGTTTCTAGTTGTCTTAGCTTCAAACATTTATGAACTACTTATTCTTGTGGTTCAGATAATGTCCCATGAATGGGCCAAAGAAGTGTTAAGCGATGTTGAGAGCCTGACAGAAGAGAGAGTGGAACAAGTTCTGAACAAGTTTCTTGAAGATTTCAGAGACGGAACGATGAGAACGAATGGCTGGCCAACTTACATAGGAGCAACTGCCTATAATGTATCGAAAGCAGCTATGAACGCCTACACTAGAATACTGGCCAAGAAGTACCCTGGTTTCTGCATCAATTGTGTTGCTCCAGGCTTTGTCAAAACCGATATCACTGGCAATACTGGACACTTGACAGCTGCGGAAGGGGCAGAGAATGCATTGAGGTTGGCATTGCTACCCACTGGCGGCTCTTCGGGCCTTTTCTTCAATTGCCAAGAAGTTTCGAGTTTTTAAATAAAATGTTTCATTACTAAGTGAATCATGCCCCAAACTTTGTGTTTGTATATCCCCCAATTAAAGGCCTAAGGATATAGAAAAGACAGTGAAGTTTGCTTTGTTGCTGCATTGTCAATTAACCATTTAATAAAGTTCTTGTTGGTTGAACATTCAAGGCATTTTGTTTTTTTCTCAAGAAATATTAGTATCTCCTTGTCCACTTTAAACCAGACGGCTGATGCCAAAGTACATGAAACATAAAGTTGCTGTTTTTGTTTTCTTGTGGGTGCCAACTCTGTTACATGGTGGAGTAATTGAAGACATTGATCGGCAGATGATCACCCAACACCTTCAATAAATTCTGAAGCGATCCCTCAACAGGCTTGCAATTTGTTATGCTCTCTTCCCATGGCGGAGTCCCTTCAAAGGTAGCTGTTTCTTTGATGTGGGTTTTGCATTTGGTATACCTTAAAGCTCCAAGCTTTAACATTTTTCGAATTCTTCTTGTGTCAGATATGTGGTTGTCACCGGGCGAACAAGGGGATCGGACTGGCCATATGTAAGCTGTTGGCCTCTGAAGGGCTCATGGTGGTCTTAACTGCTAGAGACGAGAAAAGGGGTCTCGAGGCTCTTGAAAAGCTGAAACACTCTGGTCTCTCTGATCACCTAGCTTTTCACCGGCTGGATGTGGCCGACCCTGCTAGCATCTCTTGCCTGGCAGATTATGTGAAAAACAGATTTGGGAAGCTTGATATCCTGGTATGAACCAAATTTCTGTGGCAAATTAGGTGCTCTATTTTTATCTTTACCGTGCTTGTAGCTGTATATCTTTTTTTTTTAAGGATATGTACCTGTATATCTCGAGCTTGATGAAGTCATATTCTCAAATTTGCAACAAGGTAAATGCTCGAATGTTTGTTCTTCTTCAGGTCAATAATGCTGGTATAGGCGGAAGTACAGTGAACCATGATGCTTTAAAGGACGCAAAATTTTCTGGTAGTGAGGTAATTAAGCCATTAGGAAATAATTCTCTTTACAGTTTGGAAAAGCTTATATTTTTATTTTGGCCAAAGTCATGTTTTAAACTCGTGAAACCTTTATATGTTCGTTTATATATTTGATGATTACTACATTCAATTCGAACAACTACCCTTTCGAGATATTCGAATGGCGCAAGGCGTTTTACTTAATATTATTTCTCCCAGAACCCCTTACCAAAGTTTCTAATACAAAAATGCTGGCAGACCTGCAAGCCGTTTGGAGTAAAGTCCAGGTTGAAACTTACGAGTTAGGGAAAGAATGCATCGAAACAAACTACTATGGTGTTAAAGCTACGTCGGAAGCGCTTATTCCTTTACTCCAGTTATCTGATTCTCCAAGGATTGTTAACATTTCCTCTTCCATTTATCTGTTTGTGTCGAAATCAGCGATTTAGAGAGAGAAAAAAAGAAGATTAAGCAGAGAGAATTAAATCAATGTTGTGTAAAAGATAATTGCAAGACTATTTCTATATAAGAAATAGCTCTAAGGAAAGAACAATTAAATGCAATCCCTAACCTTAAGCTAATTAAATAAAAAAATAACAACAATTTCTGGTGTAAAAAATAACTCTAAAAAAAGATGGGGTAAATACAAGATAGTATTAACATAAAAATTGTAATATTTTTTTTATAAATATTGATACAATATTTGCGTTAATCATACTATTTTATACAAAAAGATTTTCCTATTCACTTAAAATTGAATATCATGCTTAAAAGTATTGATCTCAGGTCTTAAATATTGGCATCTCGTACATGAGTAAAATGAGTTTCATAATATAGTTTTTTATGAATATGAGATTATTTTATTTATAATTTTTTTATTATTGATTATACGCATATATCATGTGCATATAATCATTTAAACTTAAAAATTTTAAAAATGATATTCGTATTATTAATCATTGAAGTAACTCAATCGTTCATTTTCATAATATACTTTAGGGTAAAGTATATAAATAGTCTCTAAATTTTTAGGACACTTGCATTTTGGTCATCCAATTTTAAAACTTGCAATACAATCACTAAACTTTTAGTTCGTTTTTATTTATGTCTATGTCATTACCTTCCATTAGATTTTACTGACGTATCTGTTAACTCTCTGTTAACATTTTTTTTGCTGACATGGCAGTTAACCTCCTCCTCCTCATAAAAGAATCTGAACAAACCCATTAAAAGCATAACTTTCAACCATCTAAAGCACTAAAATAAACAATAAAGACATTACTTATCCATTTTTTCCAAGTTAGTTTCAAATCTAAACCTCTAAATCCATCTTTTCAACTTAGTTTCAAATCTAAACTTCTAAGTGTCCAACCCCAACAACATTAAAGGGTTTTAACTCCCATAAATACTTTACTCAAATATTTCTACCACTGTTCTTAACAAAGTGCAAAAATCACTCTCATGCGTTCATTTTTTAATGTCATTGATGGCATGGTTAAAATGTTTCTGCAGCCTGCTCGATTCAAATGATCTTAGCGGTCAAGTTCCAGATGATTTATTCCACATTCCGATTTACAAGTATGGGTGTCTTTGATTAGTTCGTTTCATTTCCGATTTTAATACGAAGAAATAAAAATATCGTGAATGGCCATTCACCTTTCACACCAGTTACAAATATTTATCTGCAGTGAATTGAAGCTAAACACAGTTTTATTTATTTCAGCTTTACAGGAAACAGGTTAAATTGTGGTGGAAATTTCCCGCAGAGTTGTGTATCGAACGGAAATGATTCAGGTAATTGGATTAACTATTTCAAGTGAATTACATTGTTTTTATAGTGTTCATTGGTTTCAAAGATACCCCATTTAAAAATACTTGCCACTATTTGATCAGCTATCTCAAAGATTTCTTTTCGCTTGCAGGCTCTTCGGGGAAGTCGAAGGTTGGAATTATAGTTGGAATCCTTGGCGGATTTATAATTCTTCTTATCTTTGGTGGTTTGTTGTTTTTCCTGTGCAAGGGTCGCCGGAAAGTCAACAGGAGCGACGTATTTGTAGATGTTGCAGGTAAAGTCGACCGAAGAATTGCTTTTGGTCAATTGAAAAGGTTTGCATGGAGGGAATTACAATTGGCTACCGATAGCTTTAAGGAAGGTTTTAACCATGCCATCAGTGACATTAAAAAATGAACGCTTAAGAGTTACTTTTGCAATTTGTTTAGATTTGAAACTAAGTTGAGAAGATGGATAAGTCAAGTAATGTTTTTATTGTTTATTTTAATGCTTTTGATGGTTGAAAGTTCTGTTTTTAAGGGGTTTGTTCAGATTCTTTAAGAAGAAGAAAGAAGCAGGAGGAGGAGGAGGAGGAAGGTTATGTCAGTAAAAAAAAAAGTTATCAGAGGGTTAACTGTCACGTCAGTAAAATCTAATGGAACATAACAGCAGTGACAGAAATAAAAACGAATTAAAAGTTTGATGATTGCATTATAAATTTCAAAAGTTGAGTGATTAAAATGCAATAAATTTAAAAGTTTGGGGAATAAACTTTACCCTATAATTTACTGTAAAGGGCCACTTTTTCTAGAAACAAAATTAGACGATTTATGGTTGCCCACGCTAGCCGGTCGGCGGTTGCGTGAGGATTTCGGTTTCTGGGCCCGCATGGATTATTTAGCGTAAACTATATATTTAGTACCTCAACTATTAATTTTGTTTCATTTTAGTCCTTTAACTGTTTTTTTCTAAAATCATATCTAATATTTAGTTTTGATTTCATTTTGATAACCTATTGTTAAAAAATTAATGGTGATACTGACGTGTTACCCTAGTATAATATCATTATTAAAAATAAAAATATCGTGTTAGTAGTTCTGTTAATTTTTTTAATGATAAATGACTAAAATAAAACTAAAATATAATATTAGGTATATTTTGAAAAAATAATTAAATAACTAAAACAACAAAAATAATAGTGGAGATATTAGCTGTGCTTACCTTTTTTAAAATTGAATTGGAAGATGAGATTTTGAAAAGGTCAATTTTGTATTTATGTTATAAGTTCATCATTGATTGTATTTTAATCAAATTTTCAACAACATTAAGTGATGGAAATACATTTAAAAAATAGTCCCTGTTAACACCAAACTTTTAAAAAAATCTTTGTTAGTTGCTTTGATTTTTTTAACATTTAGCCTAATTTTAAATTAATTCTGAAATCAATTGACTCATATAATGGTAAGATTAATTGTGTTAAACTTAAAAAAGAATTAAAGTAATTTATTTTAGAGAGAAATATTCAAATATCGATCTGTATGATAGCTAAGATTCTTACTATTTTAATGATTTAAAAAAAATATTTTTAATGATAAATTGATAAATAAATTTACTCTGTTATATATTTTGATGATTTTAATAATTTAAAACTTATATTTTATTTTAAATAAATATTATAATTTTTTTATTTTTGAATAATATTATATTAATTTTATAGAATAAATAAATAGCTATTTAATATTTTTCACTAAAATGAATTAGAAAAATAATTATCACTTAGTTTTAAATTTTAATCATAGTTTAAATTTTAGTGACTATAAGTGTTAAGGGATATTGAACTTGAATATCTACTTTATTAAATATTTTACATTGTCTGTGATTTTATAATAAAATAAAATTAATAAAAAATATATGAGTCCATAATAAAATTAATGAAAAATGGCGTATAGATTACATAATGAGATATGAAATTTTGGAGTGAACTTGGATTATTGTATACCACAAAACAAAGATTTTTTTTAGTAGTTTATTCTGAAACTTCTGTATTTAAGAATTGTATAGGTACGTACGATGAACCACATCAGTTAATCACGTTCCTCATTTTCACTTCCTAGTTTCTCCGCAACATCAATGGCAGAAGCAATGAAAAGGTACCATTTTACTCTCATAGCTTACCAGTCAAAGATTAAGATTTAAATTACGGTTTCAATCATATTTTCGATTATGTTACGTTTGTTATAATCGTAAACAAAATGATTATTATAGTGATCATTGAAAATGTCATAGTTACATCAATCCACTATCAGAGAAGTAAATGTGTCGTTTGAAACTGTTATTACACGATCATGGATTTAAACTACGATCAAGGAATAACAATTTCGGATTATACTTTGACCACAATAAAACGGCAG